CCCACTGTGTTGGTTCTATAAGCTGTCTGCCGCCGCTTCGAAACAACGGTGTATTAACCCGAAGCGCTAGCCTCCGCGCCTTGAAGACATGCCTGACCCCACCTGCATCTGAGGATGCTTTGCACCAGTCCGAGTGCGAGTGGAAATCTCTGGAGCATCATATCAGGACGGGATCCTGCCGCAACAAGCAGCAGCGAGAATGAACGCATCTACATCCACAAGCAGGACCGTGCTGGATGCCTGTAGGAACATTCCTACATCACGGATCATGGATCATGACAGGGATCAGGGAGCTACTGTATTCATGGCTTATTTTTGCAGTGACAGGACTCGGCCCAGGCCTAGCAAACCTTCCCTGCAGTCATAAACAGAAGATCCTACAAGCATGTCATTCAGCTGTCCTGCTACATCCCTTCAAGATGCCTCAAGGCCCGGCAAGCCAGCAGGGAATCCCAACTATGGGACAAAAACGATGTCAAAGCTCTTGAATGGCAAAACCCAAAAAACCCGAAGCCCCTCCCTCTTTCCACGCAACTGCACAACCAAAGCTTCAAGCCAGGAAAGGTCGGCGCTCCTCTCACGCGCCGATCAGCGGCACTTCGCAGGGGCTTCCCCGGTTCTGACCGTTGCCGGCACCACGTGTGGGCCTAGGATTCCGACAGTGGTGCACCGGGTCATGTGGGTTCTCCAGACGCCTGTTGTTCAGACTGGGTTGAAGACTCTGTTGGAACATCGAGGCGGACAGGCGTACGGGCCATGGCTGACCTCACTTACCAGACCGACTTCCTAAATGAGAGTAGCCTGACCTAGACTTGCGGGCTGATCAGTATCACTCTTGAGGGCCTTATTTGAATAATACACATATTTCTCCTACAGTGGCCTTTAAACAGATCCCATAAATTCGAACAACCCTCACTTCTCACTTGTAGACTTATGGCCGTGTTTCCTGCCGAGCCAGAGGTCGCGGGACGGTTTTCTTAAGAAACAGAAAGTTCCCGCGACATACAGGCTCGTGTAGCGTTTATAGGCATGAAGGCAGGAGAAGGCAAAACAGCACGCGACGCATTGCATAAACGTCAGTCACCGATGCGTTGTGTACTTTGTTCGGTTGGGCTTTGTGTGTTCTGTTCATTCGTCCAGTGCCTGAAATAGGAATTCCCTAGTGTTCGGCACAAAAGGTGCCTTGCAGCAGTTCGAAGTGTTCGCCAGTCCCGATGCTGTAAGCTGCAACGTTCCGAGGCGAACGGCATCTTCAAAAAGCCGTAAATTCATTTCGAGTTGTTCGACTGGCCCAAAAGCTGCGAATTGAAGCGCGCTCTAGGTGTCCGGAACTTCAAACACCGGCAGTTGCAGCACAGAAGCCTGACCGACAAGTCCAAGTGCTTGTACTTGTATAGACTACCAGCCTAGTGTCTTTCTCGTTCAGACTGGGTTGAAGACTCTGCTGGGGCATCGAGGTTGACGTGGCCACAAGCTCGCGCCTGCTTACACTTGCGGTTGGCCTGACTGTACTTAAATTTTAAATTTGAGAGTCTGTGCTGTGCTGGCTATTGCAGTGAATTGACCGATCTCCTACAAACACTGCCGCCGCCATGAACAGTAAAAGTCCGCTGCGTTCGCCGTTGAGTCTTGCTGCGTCCTACAGAAGCCAATGCTGGAGTCTTGATGCTGGAGCTGCAGTCTATGACAGGACCTTCTGAACGCAACCTGCTCCATTGCATTAGCTCCGTGACATCCCTAAACACCTCGGCGTCATGCTTCAGGTTCGTGTTCATGACCTCCACATCCTCCACCGCCACCCACGTCATCTGGCACAACTTGGAAGGCATCTGGCTCCGACAACGAGGCCAGAACCGCCGCCTCGCTTGCCGCATGCGATTGGCCGTCGAGGACTGCTCGAGCAATGGCGCACGAAGGACGTCCCGCTGCTGGCACGTCGTGACAAGCTCCTGTTGCATGGCCTCCAAGTCCCTCTTCTTGCGCTGGAACTCTTCGGCCTTGGCGTGCAACTGCAGGTGGCACTGCGCCTTGGCCAGCGCCACGCGCGCGCCGCAGTGGCACTCCACGAGCATGGCCCCCAAACGCGCGTCCACCTGAAGGTTCGCGACGTAGCCCGTGCCTGACACCCGGCACACGGGGCACTGCACCCTCCCGTTGGTCCGGCACTGTTGGAGGGCACAGGATTTGCAGAGGCTATGCACCGACTGGCATGCGAAGCCGGCGCCGCCCAAGCGCATGGCAGGCTCGGCCAACTGGGAGCAACTGCGACAGAAAAGTGGTTGGTTGGCCTCGCATGCCTTCAACTCTGTCAGCTCTACCGATGGAAGGAGGCACTGTGCCTTCCAGCGCATCTCACCGCGGACGTCACCCAGCTCCTCCAGATTCTGCAGCTTGTGCTGTGCTGCGGCCGGTGGCTCCACGACGCGAACGTACGGGCACAAGCAAGGGGAAGTGAGGGGAAAACAACTGACCCCAAACGGCGCCTCTGAGAAAAGGGACATGCAAAAGGTCAAGGCGTGCCACAACCAGCAAGAACCCCACGTACAAGCTATTTCTTGGCAGGGAAATGCGACAACAATAGGGGGGCAAGAGGTCTGAGTTGTTGAAGGTCCTTCGGTAAAACCCTTGTCCTGACATACAACACGTATGCTCCTGACATGCGCCTTATACTAGTGCTCCGTAATCGCCGACCCCTCTCTCTCGCACTCTCTGTGTGTGTTTGTCTCTCTCTCTCTCTCTCTCTCTCTCTGTCTTCGCAGGTCGCGGGATGGCTGTCAGGGTCAGGCTTTCCAAAGTTTTGAACATCTCGACGTTCATTTGACCGGTGCCAGGACTCAGGGGCTGGATGTCAAGCGTTTTGTTCCGACGCTACCGTGTGGCCTTGCACACCGCTTTTCGATGTTCTGCTTTTCGTGGGTGTCGGAGTCGGACCGACGAAGATTGCACAAAGGAAGTCTTCAGAAGGCCGCTGGGACAGCCATCAACCTTCCCTCAAGATCCCTTCAGATGAATCCTCTGAGGCAACTGCCAGAGTTCACGATGAGCATCCTGCAGTAGATGCTCCTGAGTGGACGACTCGCACATCACGCTCGCAGGTTCGCTGGGACCTTTGCAGAGGCGGCACAGCATGAGGCGATGCACCAACAAGATAGAGGAGTGTCACACGAGAAGCACTTTCACAAGGAACGACACGAACAGAAGGAGAAAGATTTATTTGCTTACACATTGGGCATTTGAATTGCAAATAGTGCAAGCGCCAACATGTCAGCAACGGCCCACCTTCTGGTGCTGCTTGCCAAGCGTGTCCAAGCCTGGCTCTTTGAAATTCTTGTGAATCTCAACGTCATGGGTGTAGTGAAGGGGAACCATGGAAACAGCCGACAGAAGCTGCTTTGAGAAAAAATAGACTTAGAGATTCCACTTATGTGTCGAGTTGCAGGACAGGTTGCGGCCCATCCCCAACAACAAATCATATGCATCGCTGGCACCCCACGGCCACACGACTTATAAGGGCCCCAAGAGCAAAACTATGCCACAGCTGCTAGAAATGCTAAAGGCAACAAGCTCTACAAATCTATGCAAGCTCGACTCGTCGGGTGCTGCCAATCACTCCAAGAGCTAGCTTTGTGTTGGGTCGCCCAGTCCAGTATCGTGCAGTTCTGGTGCACCGACTCTTCCGTCCTTAGGCCCTAAACCCTCAACCCTATATGGAGATAAAAGCCTATTGTACACTAAAAACCCTGATACAAACCCTATAAAGCCATAAGCCGACCGAAAGTTATGCTCTTGGAACGATCGCGGAGAGCCCTTGGAACGCGAGAGGTCTTGGGGGTGCTGTGAGAGTTGTCTTGCTCGGCTCAGGGTTAGACAGGCTGTAGGTTTTAAAACTTGCTGGCGGCTAGCTGCGCGCTTTCAAGACTCTCAAAAAATGGGCCCGGGGCCTACATGGTTTGCTCAAGCGCGCAAAGGCGAAGAATCAGCTCCTTGCTGTTTCAGTGTTAGCAAAGTGCTAAAAACTCAAAAGGCAGCCCAACAATGCCAGGACAAACATCCCAAAGCTTCCTTCTGAGGTGGTGTCAAGTTACGCCTCCCCAAACAAAGCATACACCCAACCCCAGAACTGAACTATCATCGAGGAATGATTCTGATCTTACCTTTCCTCTGCCCCGCCTTGGGTCCCTCCAGCGCGTGGACTTGCTCGATGCCTGACTTGAAGGAAGGCTTGCGCAATCGGTGGCTGTACTTCGTCGGCGAGGCAGCTTTGTTGAGTTGTGTTCTGGGCACCCTGTGCTTGGAAATTTACACACGCTTGTGGAGGTCAGATGAAGCTTTGGACCCCGGAAGCTCATGTTGATAGTCCCGATGTTCCAGGCTCTTTTCGATCTGCATCAGGATGATTTTGGGAAGTGATGGCCTTTATGGTGCTTTGCTTTTGGGGCACAGCCCGTGTGATAGGTGCTGCAACAAGGTGCAGCACCCTGAAGGCCCAGGTTTTTTAGGTCATTCTGTTTAGATGGTAATTCATCTTCCTCTTCTAGGAGGTGGGAATCAAGCCTGGCGATGTTGTTCTGGTTCTGACTTGGGTGTATATAGACTATGTAGGACCATTCCTCGGCATTGAGCCAACGATTGTTGCTAAGTTTATTATCATATACTCTAGAGCGCCTTTTTTTGAGCTGCAGCATGCGCATTTGCCAAGAACCTGGTACAAGAGAGAGCTCAATCTCGAGCTTTGCCAAGCAGAAACGGGACAAGCTCCTTTGGCCATCCAGACACGCGTTCATTAGCATCTGAAGTGCAGCATACAATAGTGGCTTCTTTGGCAGACTGGGAGCCTTTAACAACAAAAAGGAGTCATCTACCGTGCCTACTCCAATGCTCTGCTTGCACTCCAGGGATTGCAGCTTCTACGGTTGAGCTTTTCCCAACGCCAAAAAAGTCGTCGCAGCTTATGAGCCGCCTCCTTGCAGCCTCTGCCTTGCAGCCTCTGCTCTCGGCAATCAAGCGTTGACAAGGGCCTGCAAAGGATGAGCTTCGGTGCCCGGAAGCGCAGATGCATGTCTACGAAGGCAGATAGGATGATAGGATGGAAGCACTCTGCACTCAGCAGCAGGAAACACACAACGCAGAAAGCACCTTGCCCTTCTTGGCCTTGCTTTGTGAGGTCCCCGATGCCTGCTGAAGCGCAATGATAAAGTGGTGTGACCCAGGCAAACTTATGCAAAACAAATGGAAGTTAGGTTCAAGATCCATGAAGCAGATTGCAGTCTCATCGGTACACTGCCAGGCCAGTTTGCCTGCTCTGGTACTGTACAGGGCTGGGGGACCAAATAACCGAAAACCTTCTCCTCAAGTAGGCTCGGCGGCTCAGCCAATGCAATGAAGCCGCCTTGATTCGTCTTGTTGCAAGATCAGGAGTCGTGGCCTCGCAGGGTGCGGGCAGCATCCCCCGAATTGTGCAGGCCGTTCTGCAAGTCAGATTGCTGAAGTGGACGGCCCTTTTGCATGCACAACGAGCCCTAGTGCATGCACAGTAGGTAGCCTTCTTCTTCGGCAGGGTCTTCTTTACACAGAGGACTTTCGCCTGGCATGTCAAGCTGGAGCTGTGTGTTATCAGTCTGTTTCCCGAAGGCGTGGCGAAGGTTTTTTCAGCGGAGGTGCTCTTCGAGAAGGTTGTCATTATCGTTGATCGTTGTTGTAAGGATGGATGTCGTATTGGATGTGTGATGGCGTGAGGTATGCGCGCGTGATATTATGTTTTAAAGCGCGGGGTAGGGCATGGGTTGCAGCTGGGAGATGCTATGGGAGATGATGTCTGGGATGATGTCTCGGATGAACCGTGTCGTCTGTCGTCTGCCAAGCGCTTCGCTTCGTCTTTCTCAAAGTCAAAGGTCTCACGAGGCCTTAATCGCGGCAAGAGACAACCGTTGCCAGTTTACTCTCGTACTCTGCAGGCCTTAGCACGTCGCGAGCAAGCACTCGCCACAATCCGTTCCTTGGCGACTTGGCATCTCACAGTGGCAAGGACCAACCACCCCTCTGCGTAGCCAGTGAACCACGGCAGCATAGATCTCCTTGTTCGCTGGCCCCGGTTTCGCGAGACCGTCCTCACACTAAGGCTGCTCATGCAATAAAGGGCACGAAGCAATCTCCCAACGGTCCTGTATTTGTTTGAGTCGAAGCTCCCACTCGCCTGGAGGCGAAGAGATACTAGAATGTGTGATGCCACGACATCAGATGGCTTCACCTAACTTCATAACCTGCTCTGCTCGCCTGTCAGCTCCACAGTGGACAATTCCGGCATCTTCAGCAATCCACGGAGATCTGCGATGAACTTCACTGCCTTCCGGGCTGAAATGCCCTTGCCAAGCACACCCTTCCTGCAAACCAAAGCGTGTCATTGGACATTTCATGACAGTGTCACGGTGTCCTGATTGCTGGCCATAAGGGCACCTTTTTCGATCTTTCCGGTGGACGCGGCGGCCGAAGCATGTGTCTTAGTCGCCCATAGGATTATCAAGCCCACGTGACGCACACCTGGAAGCTAAGCACCGGCACAATCCACTTCTGCCAGATCAGCTTCTCGATGATGGCAGCGCGCGTCGCTGAGGTACCTATGCCTTCGGCAGGTCCTACAAGTCTGTGCTGAAGAACAAACAACACCTGCGTGCAAACGGGAGCCTGCCGTGAGTGCCTGCTTGAGCTGGCCATCCGCCACCTGCTATGTAGGATAAGCCCTTCAGATCGTGCTGTGGCCTAGAGACATCTGAGGCTGCAGCAGCTTTGCTGCAAGTCTCCATGGCTGTGAGGAGGCTTGCCTGCATATGACGAGTCGCGGCCATGCCTACAAAGACTGTGCATTTCGCCTGCGTGTAGCGCTGTGGAGGCTGAGTCTCCTGCGCACAAGCAGAGAGGATCAGAAAAAATCACCTGAAACCAGACTCGGTTCTCATGCTGTCCTTGTCGACCACTTTTGGAGCTTTCACCAAGACAACGCTTGTGCCCTGGCCACATGCATGTCCAGACATACTCAAAATGCCAGGCGCAATACTACTAGAAGGTGAATCAGAAGAAGTTTCCTGCATGTACCATACTGCTAGATGCCGCACACATACACATACATACAATTCATACATGATCACGCGGAGATCGATTGATTTGTTTCTTTTGCATGTTGCTACCCCCTCACCCCCCCCGTCACTCCCCCCCTCACCCACACTCACCCCCCCCCCCCCCCTCCCCCACGCCCCCACCCTCCCCCTACCCCCCCCCCCCTCCCCCCCCCCCCCTTCCCCCCCCCCCCCCCCCACAAAAAAAAAAAACCGCGTCTAAGCCAAGCCTTGGGCAAGGGCCTTGCCAGGCCCTGGCGGCCCGGCTTTCTTCCTTGCAGCAGCAGGAAGCCTCGAGCAGGATCTAAAGTTTAGGACCCGGAAGGTGTACAGTGTAGAGGGTGGCAGAGGGGTTTAGGATTTGAGTCGTTTTGATGTTTGGTTCTTTCTTCGCGTCTTCTAGGGTTCTATGCCGGGTGTAGGACCGGGGCGTATGAAAGCGTACAGCGGAACTGCTGCCGACGAAAAGTGCTGAGGATGTCGGTAACTCGGTGTAGAAGCGAAATCTGCAGCCCCAAAGGTGGGGTGGTCTCCTCAGGTCACGGGGCCCACCCCACCTAATCAACAACGTACACCCGCCCCCCCCCAACGTGATGAGGTACACCTCAAGTCGACTGTTGCCCCGCCGCAAGAAGGCTGCAAACAGTAAACAAAACTCCACGAGCTCCAGCCGGCTAGCCTTCGTGGTTCAACAACCCACAAAGCCAGGGTAGCCTGCATCCACGAGGACGCGATCATGTGTCTTGAAGATGTAATCGCCCATCTGCAGGGGCAGCAAAAAGCAGTTGTCCGCACTTAGGATGCTCCCCCTTATACTAACAAGTCCTCAACGGGGGATGATAGTACCCCCCATTAGAATCCCTATTAAGGACTGCTAGTATAAGGGGGAACATCCCAAGTCTGCACTCATCTGCACTCGGAGTTGGTCAGCAGGTTCCACTCTGAATTGCCGATGCAGATTGGAGAATCCGGCCTGCGTGGCTCTGCTCATCACAGCGTGCTTTGCCTCAGTTGAACGCAAGTTCAACGTCCGTTTACACTTGGCCAACTGGGACGGAACTTTCCTCTCAGCCAAAATCGCTGGTTTCTGCTCTTCTACCATGCCCCCTTCCCAACCTGCTTCAAACTTCAAACATGTATGGAGCTGCAATGGCTAAACGACAAGCCCAAGAAGACGGCAAACGCAACTGCCACGTCTTGGCAGACTCCTTGCGAGCATATGAATCAACACTGACAAGATGCTGGAGGTAGAAACACCTCGAGAAAGTGGCGAACGATCATCTTCAGCACCTATTGGACAGGCTTTCACATGGTACACACGGCATGCGTAAGCAACTTGATGTTGAGTCTGCTACAACTCTGTGAAAATGAGCTCTTGCAAAATCACACTTGCTTGAACTTGTGTCTGCTGCTACGTGTCTCTGAGCGCATGAGCAACCAGTAATGTCAATATAACACAAGCTAGCATGCCTTGTCGTGGCTCTTGGATGTCAGCGCCTGCTTTCAAACAAGTGGCCCAACTATCGACAAAAATAGCGCCGCTGTGTGCCTGGTCCAGCCCTTGAGAAGTCGGAATTATGGCATAGTGGTCCGTGACTTTCTTGTCATCAAAAACCCGTGCCCGAACTTTGCGAACCTTAGCAAAGCACGTGGCCGAACTGCACAACCTGTACCTGCACTGTGCCGCAGTGTGTTGCAAGGCGCACACACGCTCTGCGGCCGCCTTCAATATCTCCGGAGTGATCTCACCTCTCGAGCCATGCGCTTCACAAGTCGGAAGAATCACCCACTGAGCCGAAGTCGAGTCTCCTTGGCTTGTACCCTTACGGGCAGCATCTTTGAGCATCTTCTCGATCAGGAGCTCGTGGTCGTTCGGCACATACCGCGAGTCCGTCCGCCTCGGCTTCCCAGTGACATGTCCAGCATCAGCTACGCACAAAGACGTCAGCTGCACTGCTCCTACTATTACTGCTGCTAGTATTCTACCTCTTACCTCCTACCCCTTCTACTCCTTCTACTCCTACTACTCCTACTGCTCCGACTACTCCTCCTCCACCCCCTCCTCCTCCTCCTCCGACTACTACTACTACTACTACTACTACTACTACTACTACCACTACTACCACGACTACTACCTACTTCTACTCCTACTCCTACTCCTACTTACTCCTACTCCTACTCCTCCTCCTCCTCCTGCTCCTGCTCCTGCTGTTACTGCTGCTGCTGCTGCTACTACTGCTACTGCTGCCTTTATTGCTACTGGTTCCAAGGCCCGAACGGGTAGGTGGTCAGTTCATCTTCGTACAGCTTTTGGACCTTGCTGGATGTTCCAAGAAGTGGGGACCCTAAGTTGTGAAGAACTCCGAACTCTCTCTCTCTCTCTCCCTCTCTCTCTCTCTCTCTCTCTCTCTCTCTCTCTCTTCCTTCCTTCCACAGCACGTAACCCCCGAAGGGGTCGTCCCGAAAAACGTGCTCCAGTGATCCAGTCGGTGGTTTTTTTCCGGCCAACACAGGGCTGGAGTTGCTTCATATTAGAGTGTCCTCCACTGTGACCCTGTGTTTCAGTGTGGGTATTGTGTGGATGGGCTCAAGTCACCGACCTCCCCGAAGCAATGCCATACATAACACCATCCCCAACATCCCCATCTCGTCCCATCTCATCCCCACTCAGCTTCACTTCCCCACTTCCCTCTCTCTCTCTCTCTCTCTCTCTCTCTCTCTCTCTCGCTCTGCCATGCCATCCTGGCGGGTCTTGCTACTCCGAACTGCTGGCTCAAATTGCAAGGAATTAAGGAAAAAGCCTACACCCTCGACAATTAACCCCATCTATAAGGCACGTAGGGCAACGCGAAGCTCTGAACACTGCTAGAGTTCCTGTGACCCTGCTTGGGAAGGCGACAGAGAAGACAGCAAATTCTCTGCCGATAGGAGCGCAAGAGACCGGGTCTAACACAAAGCCACAAAGACATGTGCACGACTGGACCCACAAGGGTTTCGGCCATTAGGTTGAGGGTTCGGAGCCCAGTAAAGACCAGTAAAGGCCAGTCTAACTTACCATAGACTCCACTGATATAGACGTAAACAACTAAAACACCAGCATAGGTTCTTTCACAAAGTATACATATATGTATTTATGTATATCTGTATATATGTAGATATGTATATATGTCTGTGTATATGTGCGTGCAAGTGTCACGTGTGCATGCATGTACCACAGCAGAACCTGTATGCCTGGCCCCCGGCATGCTTCAGGGTGCTCGCAGGTGTCATTCCGTAGAGCCTCTCAACAAGCATGTGGGACGGGACCCCCACGGTGATTTGTCACACTGGAACTGAAACCCTGTCTCACATGCAAGCCACACACCTTGGCAACAACACTGGATTGCTTCTCGAAGACTGCCAGACTGTGAGTTCAACTCTCACACTGGCAAAAGCGAGCGAGGATCTTGGTCTGAAGATACGAGTGAGAACGAACTACCTCAGGAACCTCCACGCAAGTTCAGCGACAGTGACCGTGAGTTAGGTCTTTGGCCATTTGGAGCTCCACCCCCCCCAGCCCCCCAGAGCGAACAGGGGAGCGTGCGCCCGACTCAATGCCGGGGCGGCCTTGGCTCATATCCGGAAATAAAGGTGCGGGGTCGGCTTAGGACCTCGGTTTCAAGCTGGCATGAGGTCAGCCTCAAACGACTGTTTAGTATAGTGGCATAGCTTTTGCATGCGTAGGTTTTCATAGTGTCCGCTGACCCTTTAGGCTCAGCGGTTTCTTAGGTTCCCAATGTTCCCAGGATGCGCGACGTAGGCAGGAGTAGACAGGTGAGCACGCTTTTCGGTCTGGCGGTGCGTCTGCCATTTGGGCGGCATATCGAAAAGTCGACTAGTTGAAGCGCTATGGATGCTGGAAGTCCGACGTTTTCCATCAGTATATTTGGGATGCGAGGACATCAGCAGAGAAGAGAGATGGCCTAGGCCATGGCTGAGACAGGCTGAGAAAGGGCAAAACCAGAACAGGTTGCTCACGCAAGTGGAGCGACACATTGCATTAAATGCTCTAGCAGCCCCACCAGTCTTGGCTGCACACTTTGCCCCAATGCGATGGCGTTTGTCAACCCTCCAGGCCTTGAACATTCGCGCTGTACATCTGCGAGGTTGAAGAGGGGTTTCGGGTGCTCCAACGTGTGGCTTCGAGAGTCCTGCGCAACTGTAACATCTACACAGATACAACTGTCCATCGCCACTCGCAACATCAGCCGAATGCCGCAAGGCTTGCCTCCACAACTCTTCCCTCCTTCCCAGGCTTCCACTTCTTCAGCTCTGCCTTCAGGTCTACCCTCTTCTTTTTGACATCCTGGCCGCTGCGCCCTGCTCCTGCACCAACAAGCAGGCAACAAGTGGCCTGGTACAATGTGGAGAACTCCCCAGAATATTCGGCGGATGCGTCCTCCTGCCAAGCAGCGCATCACAGCACAGCCTATAGGACGGCCCCGAGTACTTACCCTGTCATGTGCAGCATCCACCTGGCCTCGTCTGATGCGCGAAAGGTTGCATGAGCCACGTGATACCTGGCAACGAGCTGCTCCACCAAGATTTTGCGAGCCAGCGCAAGCTTCTGAGACACGATGTGAGCAATGGCAGGACGGCAGTGCTGCTGTGGCTGGAAGTCTTCAATTGCCTCAGACTGTCCGTTGCTGCAGCAAGGCAATCACATCTTCACTTCAGCGCAATGTCCAAAAGCCTTCTCCCGGTCCACCACAAGCGATAACGTTGGAGTCATCACCCGTCCCACGCTGCATTTTTTGGCAAGCCACAAGCCTCACGGTGAGCTGAAGCAGTGGGCCGTTCCACTAAGCATGTGCACTATAGCATGCACGGTCTACACGCACTGAGCTGTGGCTACGTAAGGCTAAACGGCCAGACCCTAAGAGGCATGGACCCATGTTCAGGTAGGAGACAGATGCGCCACCACAAGGCAACGGATCAGGTCAACCGCACAAAACCACCTTGGAACGGTTTGATAGCAGGTCCTTGTCTGAGGGCTCGTGTTCCGTTGATCCCGATGAGCCAATCCCACAATGCCCTGGCCAACAGGGAAAGTTACGAGCTTTCTCTGGGGAGGAGCTAGAAAGTCAAGCTCCTCAACTCTACTACTCTTTTTCGTTGTTCAGGATCTGGGATTCAGACAGGAATTCAGACGCGGCATGGCTGAATGATCGAACTTATAAGGATTCGACACCGGGTCCTCTGCCGCTGTGACGGGAAAAACTCGGAGGGACTCTATTAAGATGACGAGCGTCACCAGCTGGCATAAGCCAACTCGCACTAGTGAGGGCATGAACCACGAACCCCGGACCCCGGTGATCACAGAGGGAGTGAAAGCAAAAAGCTGGATGTACGGTGTCTATAGATGCATTTTCAGGAATCTGAAGGGGAAGGGGAGCCCGCATCTGGCCTACAGTCTGCAGCAGCTGCCAAATTGTCAAAGTCGGCACCTTGCGATTTGAGAAAGCGTGCAAACCACAGCAATGAAACAGGACCACCTTTCAAAAGAGATGAACGGTAAATACCCAATCGAGTATAACTTCAGAAGCAGCATCAGAACTAGATCAACCACACCGCAAGCTGCATGCATGGTCGGCATGTTCACCAGCCCCAAAGCTATAGCAAGAATGTCTCCACACAGCAATGGCAATGCGACCCTCGCCTGCTTTCAACTGCCCCATGGCACTTCGAATGGCATCTGGAGTCAGGGACTGCAGCCATAGCCTGGACGCGTCAAAACAAGACACACAGATTTGCAAAGCTGGCTTTGCAAGGCATGAGGCGCTGGCCGCTGAAAGGGTTTCTGTTTCAATCTCAGGAATTCTCGGATACGCCTTGCAACGCTCAAGTCCCCGCTGGAGAGTGCAAACAAGGAAGGAAGACAGCCTGAAGATCAGTTCGCCTTCACGTCCTGCATCGCACCTGCCAGCACAATGTCGTCCTACGCTTACCGTCAGGTTTTCACATCCGAGCTCCGTACCCATTGACGAGCACGTCAGCTCGAGACGCAAGCTGTCTAATCCTAAGTAAGTGAGTCAGGCGGAAGTTATCAAGTGGAAGCAAAAAGCACTCGAAACTCAGCACCAAACTCTTTCAGATCCGTTTCCTTGCCTTCTATTGCCTAGCTCATCAGTTTGTCACAGTGACAGTCGGCATCCGATTTTTTTGCAGGTGCCTTGAGCTTTGAAGGCGGGGACAGTGGCAATTTCCCCCCCCAAGGAGGATCCTGCAAAGCTCTCTAGGTCTGTGTCCTCGCTCCTTGCATCTCCTTGCTGCGCCTTTTTCCTACATGGACACATATCTGCGGTCGACCTGGAATTGAACCAGGTGCCCGCAGGCGGAAGTGACAATCATGTTCTTCCCCTCATAGTGTTTCCCCACCTCAAGCTTAGATTCTCCGTGGCAGGTTCGTGTCGGCAAATACGTCAGGCCTTCTTGAGCTTCAGTGCAGAGGCAATCTGTTGCGCCACCCTCCAGGCCATGACACAACTTGGGAGTATCTATGCGGATGCTCCCCTTCTACTCCGAAGTCGACTCCGAACTCGACCGAACAGCCACTGCCACACCGAACTGACCGAGGACATCGCCTCCGGCCAATGACCGAGACCCCGACCACAAGACTGAGGACGAACACTGGGACATCACAACGCCGACCGAGCAAAATGATGGAGAACCCCAAGCTGATCGATATTGGGCAACGAACTTGCTGCAGAATGCCACAAATTAGAACATTTCAAGCTGCCTGGGCTTCTCTGCAATGACAAGCTGAACAGCTGCTGCAAGCGCAGCACCTTTGCTTTTCAGCGCAGTTCTCTAAATTGTGATACTGTGATGGGTACCCTAAATAAGAAAGGCTGCCTTGTCAGAGAAGGACCCCAAAAGGCCCCGCAATTTAGAGAAATCACCATGTCTACACGACAAATGCATACAATCTATACGTAACAGTCAGCCGGGGCACGCAGGGCTATGCCCGCACCAGTGCGGCTTTCATGTCCCGGCTGCCTGCGGGGCGCTCGCTGCTTCACAGCGATCGCGCCGGTGGCCTGACCTCGATACGATACGAAAAGTGGGAAAACCGTACTTTCTAGACAGCCTATGTATATTCCTGGGATGACATGCTATCACGACTCACGACACCAGATGAATTTCTGTAGTAACATCATAATACCACTCTTCTTCCTCACATCTCCTACAGCACTAGCACAATCTAGTGCAGCGCCACTTTCACCCCATAACTATAGCTAGTGCAGGCGATGCGCCCATATGCCAACTAAGACTGCGGCCAAGGCCTCTGGCTTTTCCCTTGAACCCATCTGGGCAGATGTGGTGAAGCATAGGGGTTGGCTGAAAGCCAAGCCTGTGAGCGCACGGGCGGACAGATCTCCGGAGTGTGTTGGTGCAAGTTCTTCTGCTCCAGTACGACTCGTCTTGCAGTCGTCTCACAACGGTCCGATAGCACAGGAGCAATGCGCGTGCATGCAAGCTAAAGTCCTGCCTCCCCGGCTGCGCATCTGGCCGAAACAAGCTGACATGCAACATGGCATCGAGGGAAGTGCCAAGCAAAGATACTACAGTTTGCTAGCAACTAGTAGGATACCACGACGTGAATCAGCTGCAGTACGATATCAAAAGCCGACAGTGCTTCTTCGCAAATTCTTCTCGGAAGAGTAGGTCTCACCTTAGGGCCTTAGGGAGGTGCCGCCTTAAAGTCCCCAGGATTGCGACTTAAGAATACTGGCGGCAGGTCAGCAGTCAGTTAGTTCTTAGTGTCTTAGTGCCAGAGCCAAGTTGAGCTTGATGTTGAGTAATCAGAAAAGTAAACCTATTGTCGAAACTCCGATGTCCTCCAGCTCGGGCACCTTTGGTTGCTCAGTGTGCTTAACAAATCGTTGCTGTGGATAAGACCGATAAGATCCTGTGAGCAGAAGAGTTTCCACGTACGAGCTATGAAGATCACACCGCAGAGGTGAGAATTCATGAGATGCTGCACTATTGCGAGACAGCCGTGTGCATCCACGGCTGAAACCTCTTGCTGCACGCATGTTCCCAAGCCCGCTGGCCTATTGGTACAGACCCAACAATTGAGCCTAAGCCCTAAACCCAAACCATCAACCCTGCACCTAGACCCCTAACCTCATGCAACAAAGACGTCGCACGTGATCGTATAAGTCCTACTCGAAGCCGGCGCCAGCCAAGCGCATGGGAGGCTCGGCCGGTTGGGAGCAGAGCCGACACTTCAGTGCTGGGTCGGCCTCGAATGCCTTTGATAGCACCGAAGATGGAAGCAGGCGATGTGCTGTCCAGCCCTTCTCACCACGGACGTCACCCAGCTCATCGAGGTTCTGAGGCAACATGGGCTGTGCCATGGCTGCTGGCTCCATGGTCTGCAACTAGCAATGCCCGGCAGCTAAGACGATGTGTGGTTGCGAGATTTTCCACCGAGCAAAAACATGTGGTATCCATGGCGCAGTTGGCATGCAGATTTTCCTGCGTTGCTTCTGCATGGGCACGGGGGAGGCAAATCCCGATAGGCAGGTCTCCTATGCAGCAACCTCCTCCTTCGGGGGCATCTACCACTCCGCAACTGCAGAATGTCTGTGCAGGCCACAGTGCAACATAGTACAACCCTCGAAGTGACCGAGCACAAGCCGCACCAGCCGACTGCAATTCCCAACTTTTCAGTCTTGCAATGCAGTCCTGCTGAATCCTGCACACTGCCCTCAAGCTGCTATTGCTGGCCAGCCGTTGGGAGCTTTCGAGTCTTGATGCTGAAATGGCATAGGTGAAGGTTGAAACTTTCAACATCTTTCAACGCTTCTCGCAACACGCGAGCCCCAAGATCCCAGGACACCTGGCTGACTGACATCACATGGTCCTGCATGCAACTCCGTTGCATATGCGCCATGCTCAGGGGCCACGTCGATGGCCTCGAGGATCAGCCAGACACTTCGGATTGTGCAGCATGGGGTGCATCGGCGCGGGCACGCCTCAGGGGTGGCTGCAGCGAGGCTGCAGCCGCAACCGCGGTCTCGCTCTCCTCCCACATGCGCTTGGCCGTTGCTGACTGGTCCAGCAAGGCTGCGCGAAGGGCCTCGGTCTGCTGGGAGGCGGTGTCGAGCTCCTGCTGCAAAGCCTCCAAATCTTTGCTGGTCTTCTCGACCTCGTCGGCGTTGGCGTGCAACTGCAGGTGGCACCGCGCCTTCGCCAGGGCCACACGCGCTCCGCAGTGGCACTCCACGTGCATGGCACCCAAACGTGCATCCACCTGGGGGTTCGCAACATAGCCCCTGCCCGAGCACTGGCATGCGGGGCACTTCACGGCCCCTCTGGCGGGGTGTTGCTGAAGGGCACAGGATTTGCAGAGGCTGTGCTGCGACTCACACTCGAAGCCGGCGCCAGCCAAGCGCATGGCAGGCTCGGCCGGTTCGGAGCAGAGCCGACACTTCAGTGCTGGGTCGGCCTCGAATGCCTTTGATAGCACCGAAGATGGAAGCAGGCGATGTGCTGTCCAGCCCTTCTCACCACGGACGTCACCCAGCTCATCGAGGTTCTGAGGCAACATGGGCTGTGCCATGGCTGCTGGCTCCATGGTCTGCAACTAGCAACGCCCGGCAGCTAAGACGATGTGTGGTTGCGAGATATACACCGAGCAAAAACATGTGGTATCCATGGCGCAGTTGGCATGCAGATTTCCCTGTCGTGAAAAGCTCGGGTGGCTTCCGCATAGGCAAGGAGAGGTAAAGGGCATGTCTCCAAGTAAGCCGCATGCTAGATGACACTCAAGATCATGCCAGACATCGCACGGACTGACACAGAGGTGCCACCGTGCATTACATGCAAACCTTGCTTTCGTGCTTTTTGAACCAGTGCTATGCTTCAGCTCATCTTTCGGTCCTGAGGAACTCACCATGTCTCACAAAGCAAAGGCACGACAAATCTGCCGAGACTGGACAAACATTTCGGGCAACCTAAACAGTCCACAAGCCTACAGTGTGGGACGGCCGGCGGCATGAAAGCCGTCCTCCGGTTGATTATTGATTTCAGAAGTGTGTGAGCAATACTGAGACAAGCTGAAGCATGAAGAAAAAATATTGCAGTCTTTTGCAGGAACTTGCGCAGTTTGCAATTCAGGTTGATGATAGCGGCGGTTAAGAATTTCAGCCGGTGATGCCGTCGCAGCACATGCGGGTCTGGAATAGGTGGTGTCCTTTGATGCATCAGTTTCGAGTTTCGAACATTTTTGCCGCTCTCAGAGCGATTGCTTCAAAAACCCGGTTCTTGTGCTTTCATACAACTCAGTGACTGCAGAGTGTCTGCAAACCAGGGCCAGTGTGTTGATCCCACGAACATGATTCTGCCCGCATGAATTGAACGATTCGTGCACCCTACCCCACATCGGCCTCGCATAAAAACGAAAACAACGGCCCGTATCCCCACTGGCAAACCATCATGTGTCGACCACACTGGGGCGTCCATTTCTTGAAGCCTCGGTCTCAGTCTTGCGGCAGTCTTGCTGAGAGTCAAATATGAAAATCGCTGCATCGAGGTCTGCAGATGCTACCCCCTGGGGTCTCGCAACATCGTCGATTCATCTAGCACGAGCACACAGCTCCGTGTCAAAGGAATCTGTTGCCCTGGTCGCGTTGCCCAGAAGGCCTTGCGACTGCTACGAAGGTCAGGCAACTTCTTGCTGTACTTGAGGCGGGCCGATGTCCTTTCAGAACTCACGGTTCCCATTGGCCCTGGCTGATGTCCGAGCCATATCTTGTACTCGGGCATGTTTACAAAGTTTGAAGCGAAACACTAAACTCCCCAAGCGGCCTTGGCATTGAGGATGCTCCTGTACAAGGGCTGGCGCACAGATGCGCAAAGGTACGAGTACCAACCAGCGGGGATTTGGCGGCACCCCGACCCCAAACTCAATACTCACTACCAGGGGGTCCTAAAGTGAAGGCTTTTCACTTGAAAGCTTGCACGTGCATGTGCCCCCTTCTAGGCATTCTAGGCATTGCAGACTCGAATTCGTGCAGTGTCCCTTCCTCAGAAGAGAAGCCAGAGGAGCCGCAGATGGTCACACCATTGAACCTACCCACATCTACCGAATCTAGCGCTGGCAACAGTTCTACAGATTCTACGGGTAGGGTGACGATCTCCGGCCCCCTGTCTCGGGACGCATCAGCTCCATCAGAGTATCCTCATCGCGCAACCTTGGGTTGCAAGGTCCGAAGCGCTGCTATCGAGTTCGTTCTACAGAAAAGCGTGCCTGGTCCATGGGCAAAGGTGTGCGGGCAAGGCCTTGACAGCCTTGATGTGCGGACATGCAGCTCGCGGCGGTTGGCGACAAGAACCACGCGATGGTGAAATGAGGCCTGTCGCAAGCCGCAACCCACCATCCCTGGTACAGTCGCTCGTGCTTGTTATTTTGCTTGTTACGAATTCCCCCCCCCCCCCCCCCTCCCCACATCCCACAAGATGCCACACTCTAATGCATTGTGGGACAGTGCCTGGGGCGGCGGAGCTATGGTGGTCGTCTGCCACGGCGTCAGAGCTGCCACGTGAATCTCTCGGTGCCATGCACCCCACTCCAGCAGCTGCTCCTGCTGAACAATCACCTTAAACCCTAAACCCTAAACCCTAACACCCTAACACCCTAACACCCTAACACCCTAAACCCTAAACCCTAATCCTAAATCCTAAACCCTAAAAACTAGAAACCCTAAACCCTAACCCTAAACCATGCAGGTCCTCCGTTGGGGCATCTTGCCCAGCAGTGCTGCCATCTTGCTGCTGCAGCATCTGATTCACAGCGGTTCGCACAGGGGCCACCGTGGAGTCCTTACCAAGGCACATGCAAAGCTACCAAAAAAGTCTACGGGTTTAGGGTTTAGGGTCATAGGGTTTAGGGCTACATTGCTTAGCAGTTCAGAGCCGAGCCCATCGAGCACTCCGTTCACTACGCAGAAACTGGAAAAAGTCTGCGGGGGCAGTCGACCAGTCGCCTCGTCCACTTGCATGGTGAGAACCTCGGCACCCGAGAGGTGCCTGCAAGTCACCCAGAATCCAGCACCGCCCTGAGGGCGTTCCACGAAAAGGGCGATGGGAAGTGTCTGCGTGTATCGACCTGTGAGGCAGAACCGGCAGTACGACTCCAGTTCCGGAAGTCTCTCAAGGCAGTCGTCGCAATCCATCAGGATGCGGCTGCAACGAGCACATCGCGGTAGGGGCTCCAAGGTCGACCATGCATGCCCACAGCTGGGACATCTCGAGTTGTCAGGGTGAGGATGTGCATTTCCGGCACAAGCATCGCAGTCATGGATGCAGAGAGTACGGCCAGCAGGCCCTACACCCTTCGCAGCTGCCTTTCCACCAATGCCTCCGAAGTGTGGTTGGTAGGGGTAACCGTGCAAAGCACGGCCAGCAAAGCTGGCGCAGGCGCGGCGAAAGTCATCTTCCATGAGAGCTGCCTGGGCCTCTTGCCTCTCCTTATCCTGACCCGCAAAAAAAATGGATCACCGATATCCCGACTTCACCTTGCTTCTCCCGAAGCTATACTGTACCATACTTAGGTCCTTAGGGGGGGGGGGGGGGTCTTTCGGTCATGGGCTACCCCGGTGGCCAAAAGGCCGGCTGGAGCATAATCCAGCTGCGAGAGCTTGCTGGTGATACCTCGCAAATCACACTCCCGAAGAACCCTGAAGATCTCGAAAGTCGAGCCCCTTGTCCCGAAAGATCCCTCAAAGTCCTTAAATCCCTGCAAGACGTCTTGTCACAGCTCCAAGGACGTCTTCGTGGCCTTCAATGGCCTTTGTGCCTCACGCCGTGCCTCAAGATATCCTTCACTGAAGGCTCAGGGAAAAGCCCATGTGCAGGATCATGCAATCCATCACCTCAAGTCCTCAAGTCGGACAGGCTCACGTCACATGTTGTCACCCCCGCAGCATTCCTTATAATACAGCAGTCACAAACCAACACGCTGCGCACTGAGATCGTTTCTTCTCGAAAGCTCCGCGCAAACTTGCCACAATGTCACCAAAGAGGATGTAGTGCGAGCAGCCCGTGTCATCATCCGATACCGCATCTGCGGCCGAGCTACATGCATCTGCTCGTTCTTCTTCCGGACGACGCAGGCTTTGATTGCGTGGATGGTGGCGGGCCGCGCAAAACCCGCACACGGCGGGCGATAACCCTCAGTATGCCTCTTAGCTTCCCAGAGCTCTTGGGCACGCGCATACTTGCAGTCCAAGTGGAAACAAATGCACGGGCTCCGCCAGACTTCTCTAAAGCAGGTTCAATCCTTCATTTTCCGAGCATATAGAAGCAGTGACGACGCGGTGGTGACCCAGGTCACGACAATGCATTTTGACGTCTGTGCCACTTGATGCTACTTGCAAACTTCATGTACCTATCGAGCAGGTCAATAGCTGGTTTTTCGCAGTGATCTGCCAAGCAGCTGTGCCTGAGCAGCAAGAGGCGCTAGGCTCGCAGAGGTCTGTCATGATTCTGCCCTCGATTGGCCCTGACCGATCTGCGCAGGGGCCTGGTAGTCATGTGGTTACATTGGCCGCTGCAGTTCCTCGGCAATGCGCTTCGTGATCTCCTCATCGGACTTGGCCTCGCCGGTCTTGCGGACGCAGTAGATGCGCCTGAGGTTGTTGTGGAAGGCGAAATTCACCAGCTCCTGCGCCTTTTTCTGCTCAGGTCGTGGTGGATACTCGCTCTCGTCACGTGAAAAAACCAGCGGAAGAATCTGCATTTTCCTGTCCACGGCATACTTCAGCTCAGCATACGTGGAGGACGGAGAGCTGGTGTCTTCTCCATAGCCGAGTGTGCACACAGCCAGAAGCAAACCATCCGGCGTAATCCGCGCAAGGTACTTTCGAACCGCTTCCCCAATGTCCAATCCATCTTCTTCCGTGACCATTCCCACCTTGAACCCCTGCCTGCGCAGCAACTTGAAGACTCTCTCAATCTGCTGGTGGACCTGGTCCTGGTTGAAGCGCAAGCTAAAGAATGCCGGTCGTGATCTTGAACCATCGGTGCTTGTTGCCGCGACCTGGATTCGAGACTCAATTTCATATCTGAGTCTGCCAAGACTCCTCTCACAACCCCCATGAAACCCCAGGGTGACACGCCTGGGAAGGCCCGGGGCAAGGTGTCACCGGTGTCGCGTGCCCAGTCCGAGTCACCTCAAGGCGTCATGCCGCCACATGCAGCAACAACCACCTGCAAAATCCCACTTAAGGTCCTATGTCTACATGCTGCCTTCTGTGCCATATATGTGCCATACGCTCTTGATGATGATGTCTCCGCAAGGCTTCATGGTCAACGGGAAAACGTTTGGAAGACTCTCCCCCCTGTTGCAAGAGGCCACTGTGTATCCGCCGGGATGTGTCCCCAAAACCCGAACCCGACCGAACAGGTACGGACTTTCCGGCCTTGTGCCGGCGGACGAAAACCTGGGCGAGTCGAAACTCTGAAGAAGCACATGGGCTCAGTGAAACCCGTGTAAACACAAACCTATGAAACCACTAAACCACGCCAGGCTGTTTCCCAGGATGAGAATGGATGACCTAGATGGCACCCGAAGCCTTGCAAGGACGAGTCCCCGGACGAGAGCTTTCTGGTAACATTGTAGCTGAGCTTTATGACGCTTAGCAGTCATAATCACATATTGGCATGATCATGTGAAGTACTTAACTGATATTATAGTCACGCAATGTCTTTTCTCTGGCTTGTTGCACTCTCTCAAATTCGAGGCCCGGACGCCATCAGCTCTGTCCGCTGGTGGAGCCTCGATTCGATTCAAGGCTGTCTTCCGCTGCCCGTTCCTGGGGCCTTGAGACTGTTGGTGTCAAGCACACAAGAGGTATCACAAGGTAGCAAAGGGCGTGTACGATTTGAAGCCCTTTTTATATAACTGGCAAACAGATCCAGCTCCGCACAAACATTGCTGCTGCCCCAGTAGTTGGCAACTAACCATTCCTCCGTCAAGCCGATGCTCTCAGCATCAACGACCGGGAGCCCAGCGCGGATCGGTTTGATGGCTATGGAGGGCTTCTTGCACAGACCAGCAGCGCTCTCCATCAGCTCGCGCTTCGAGCGCGGCACATCCCCCAACCCACCTCGGCAAGGTGAAAGCTGAATTTTGTTTAGACGTTTCCTTCAAGGCTTGGCACCCCGTGCCTTCAAGCACACGCGGCTCGGAGCTGCTGGCGGGGGATCCAGAACCCTCGCTGCTCTCACACACCTGCGCTCTGCACCAGGACACGACCAAGTTAACAAGTCCACATCATCAGCATCCCCACCTCGACTTGGCACCGCACAGTGGCACGGATGTACCTTGGTGCCATGAGGATTGTCGCAGTACTGCTGCGGGCTTGGAGGCCCCTTCTACCCTCCTATAAGAGTGCGTGCATGCCTCCGGCAAGTCCTGAATTGCCGGGGTACACTTCGCCAGCTTGCTCGTCCAGTGGCTTCGGCGCATCCGGCGAACCTGAGTGAACTCACAACGAGCTGCGACATGTTCATGATCACACAAGGGCTCAATTACAGACCGCCCCTCCGCCCAGCGAATGGAACTAATCGCATACATCCGCCGTCGCACATACTTGTACTATAGTCACGGAAGCGAGACTAAACAGCCGCAGTATAGAAGCAGGGCGGACGAGTCGCGGAATCTGCAGTGGCGAACCTCCCTCTGGTCTTGAACGAACAAGTCCACCTCATGCCCCGGCGCCGTCCACTTCGTGGGGGAGACCAACGGAAATCGCTGAAAATTGACACTTCCAGGAGCGGGATGCAGGTGTTGTGGCGCGTTCTGCCACACCAGGTCCAGCGACTCCATGTGCTCATAAACACCTGCCCAGAAAGGTTCCTCACAGAGCTTGTAATCCTCCAAGATATCTTCATCCTGGAAGGCAGCATGCATAATGCTCTTGCACCTGGAGCATCCAGCGTGTGTTACGGCCCACTTGGCATGGAAGCTGTCGTTCATGAAGCATGAGATCTTGAGAGGCGCCTCTGGTTGCCCATCGGTCCCCACAGCTACGTGACAGAAGTGGTCCAAACGGAGGACCGCGTGCCCGGCCCTGAACTGCGCATCGGCGAGTCCGAGTTCCTCCCAGCTCCCCTCCTCCGAAGAGCGCCAGGCCTTTGTCGCTCCCAAACAGACCGGAAAGATCAGCAGCACGGGCTCCTCAAAGCGAATCTTGTGCGGGCGAAGATCCAAGATAGGACCCAGAATCACTGCGCCTGTTGGTAACGGGATCGCCCCACTTGCCAGGACATGAAGCTCCGGGGCGTGTGTCTCAGCCACGCTCGCGGTCATCACCATGAGAACCTCGTGGCGGAGCACCGCCACGAGGCCGCTGCCCAGCTCCACCAGCAGGCCTCCAGAACAATCCTGGAGCGAGAGGATTCATCCTCATGACCCGACCCATGTGAGTTCACCACTCTCTCCTGCGGGAATCATTCTATTGCAAAGCACATATGCCCAGTTTGCAACAGCGCCTGAATCCACTCCGTCGGGTCGCGCATGGCCAGGGCCGGCTCGCCTTCCCACAGGCCCGCAGCGACATGCATAAAAACGAGGCGCCAAACTCAAGGAACTGTACCAGAAGATTGTCAGAATGCATGGAGTCCTGTAGCGCAACAGCTGCTTTGATGACTCATGATGCATTTCAGGAAGATTTGCTTGCTAGGCACCACCTGCCAGACATCGACCTTCTGAATGGGCTTCGCTGAGGGAATCTCCGTCCTGTGGGAGCTTCAACCGGGGCATGAGAATACTCCGGGTCCCTCGAAGCAGGGACTATCGGAGTCCTTGTCGGTCTCGTCTGTGTCCACTCGTTGCGTGAGACTCAACGGGAACCTGCCATTCTTCATGGGAGGGATAGGATAACCGGCCTACACAAAGTGCGTTTGCGCCTTCCTGACTCTGCACGTGTTGACCAACAACATGCCAGCACCACCACCCCGTCAATCGTGTCTTCCGGCTCCTGCCACAAACCTTGAAACTTGTACGCGGCCGGGCAGTCCCGGGCGACAAGTGCCGCAATCAGCTGGGCTCGACATTGACCTTTTTGGTTGCTAACTGGAACCCCTCCACCCTCCTTGCTGAACAGAATGGGCTCCCCACCCATCTGTCGGTGGCATCCTCACCATTATCCTGAAGAGGTTACGCACGGAGCACCTGTCCCTTTGAGAGGCTGTCCGAACGCCTCTAGCACCTCAATGATGTCGCCCATGTGCAGCTGGAGCTCATCTGCCACGAACTTCTGCTAAGCTGCATGCATTGCCCTCCTTTTCTGGTCTGCGTATCTGCGCTTCTGATCTGAGGTCCTTGTGTCTCAGGCAGGAAGTCTGCGGAGATGACCTCGCAATAGTATAGGACCTGCACCCAACAAACTTCCTGTCTCTCTTCTGCCCCCTAAGAACTCCCAACCCTGACCGCTGTAAATCCAAAATCTCACCACATCTCACCCACACCTTCGGCTTGTCGGGCTTGTCACTCTTCGCAGGCGATCGCCCAGCGAAGACGTTGATACCGGCCTCGGTGGTGGTCGTGCGCTGCAAGTCGGAGATGCCCATCCTGTTGATGAGGCTTGCATGTGCAGGGGTCCGACAACAGGCTGAGGTCGAAGCCTCGCAGCTGAGTCCCAACAGTGGAGCGCTGCTAGAGCTGGTGGCCCGCGAAGCCCTTGACCTGAGTTCAACAACTGCGAGTCCACGAAGCCTGCGCACTCTGCAACTGGGAGCCAGGCATCTGCGTGTCGACGCCATGTACGGGTAGGCGGTCGTCCTGGGGGTCTAGGCACATGTAGTACAGAAATGAAGTCATGGCCTGCTTGATCATGCGTGCAAATTGACGGCTCTGGTAACTCTGGTATCCTTCACTCTGCTGAAACACAACAAAATCAACAATGATTTACCCGACACCCTCCTGCTGATCTTGCTCTTCCATGCCCTGACCTGGCACAATGGCGGTGATCGTCACACCCTCTGCCCCAGACTCGCCTGGCCACAGGCCAGCCATCTCTAATGTTTGCTCGTCATCCAGGATGGTTTTGCCACGTAGTAAGCGTTGGATATCGACGGAGAGGTCCATCCTTGCCCGCTCTTTCACCTCTCTGATGTGCATGTTGCGATGCACTGGTACCGAAGCCGCGCGGCCCCCAAGTAGGTAGACTTCTACCTGGTGGTGGGCGAAGTTGCAGAACTTGCCGTTTCGACAGAAGCCCTGTTCATGAAATCGGCACATCCGGGTCTTTTCCCTCTCCTGCAGGACAGCGTGCGCATGTAAGGCCAGCCAAGTCAGAAAAGTTTACAAACAGATTGGTCCTGCGTGTGGCAGCAACTCTTCACGTTTGCAAGTACAACTGCTGTCAAGAAGCAAGACCAATTCAGCCAATTCCTCCTCACTCAGCTCCCTTCACTACATCTACCCGCCTCGTAGTCGGTCGGTTTCCTTTGCTCATCCTCGCTGTGCGCGTACAAGCACGATGCACCCCGGTTGCATCTTCCAGTGATGTTCCGCATGCACAAGTAGGTCTTGTATCTCTCCTGAGCTGAGGCAAACAAGCGAGCAACACTTGACCCATCTATGAATCTATGAGCAAATGGTCAGAAGCACATGCAACCACGCATGGCTCAGAGCAGCCAATGGCTCGAGCACATGCTACTGAACACAAACTGAACATCAAGAAACAACTAACTTGCCGAGCAAGCGACCCCCTCCAACGGATCCTGATACCAGGACACAGACAAAGGAGTATGGGTAAGGTTGCGTTTTATTGGTTGCTGCCCATTTGCTGTGGCTACAGTTGCTTGTTGTTGGCTTCTTTCGTTGCTGTCTCTGTCGCGCATTTGGTAGACTTCTACCTGGTGGTTCGCAGCAAGTGGGACAGGGGCTCCACAAGGACAGGGAAGTTGAAAAGACTGCAACCCACACTCTGCGTTATGAACTGTTTATGATGGGAAAATGCCTGATGCGGCGCATCGCCCTTGACTGTGACCCGGATCCGAAACTTCTGCCCCCCTCCAAACCTAAAAAGTTTGCCTCGGGGGAGTCTGGTCCAGGATCTTGCCTAGAATTTGGTCCCCAGCCCAACCCCCCCCGCCCTCGGCCGTCCCCCTCCTTTGGGATCTGCCGGACGTGGATGCACTTGTTCTTTGTGTCAGGCCGGCCCACAATATGTAGCTTTGTTCCCTTTGGCATTCCAAGATCTTGCAACTTGTCATCGACAAGTGTTGCCATTTCAGCGTTGCCCTCCCAGCTTTCGATAACCTGCAACAGGGCAGCACGGCTGCACACGGCCAACGAGACAAGCCAAACACTGCACAAGTGCTCGCATGTGTCTGATATCTAGCGGAATCTATCGGAGGTCGCAGACACAAACACGGCAAATCAAGCATGACCGATTTGCAGAGCAGCTCCTGTTGGGAGTTTCGGCGGAGGTTCACATTGCCTCGGGCTAGTGAACCCGTGTAAAGTGGCCTCGGTTTCTTGCCGGGCCTTCTGAATAGCATGCCAGGCACATTGTTTGGCATCCAGTTGTTTCTTGAACCCCAACTAAGCACTTCTTGCAAGGGGCCTCCCCCCCTAACTGAAAAGTGTTCGTCCGTGCTGCTAAAGATTAGGCAGTCCATACCAAACACGCACTAGGGCTGTCTTGCTTTTCTGGGGCACAGTTTATGGCCAGTCAAAGCCCCTGCATTCTTCCTGCGAATGGAAGTCAAGCCCAGCCAAAGATCGGGTCAAAGCAGCCGCATTGCCAGACAAACGCAACAGTATGGCGGGATGACGGGCATGGAGGCCCTGAAAAATGGGGGGGGCGAAGGAAAACAGAATTTTAAGGCAAATAGAGGCCCTCCAGGTGAAAGCGTTTGGTTGACGCCACGAAGCCCCCCAAGAATTGGGGCTAAGAACTGGCACTCCGGATGGGCTGCCAAGCTTGCACGCACCTTTGCGTGGGGCCTCGCGTACTTTGCTTTTGATGCCACTCCATACGTTTTTGGTGTCGACATCCTAGGATCCCGACACAGGCAAAGCCTGCGAAGCTGCAAGTGTGGGGTTGTTAGATTTTAAATTCAACTCTTCTCCTCGCCCGGTCTACTCCTTGCTCATCCCTGGAGTGCCCAACCCCAGAGTGTCCCCGGACTGCCCAGCCCCAGAGTGTCCCTGGAGTGCCCAACCCCAGAGGATCTCTACCAAGAGAGGGTGGGGATGTTCGAAGTAAATAATTTCTGGACTTGTTTTCGCAAAACGGGGCGCCGAAGCTGAGGGATGGCTTTCACAATCTGTTGGAGGTCCATGTCACTTTAAGCCTGAACCCTAGCCTGGGAACACCCCAGGAAATTTAAAGCCTCTCCAGGTCAATGGCATGGCCTGTGGAAACTTCGCCGTCAGCGGCTGGCCTTCCAGCACTGGCTTCACGGTGTACCTTCAGGGAATTGAGAGACGGCTGCGCCACGGGAAGCACGGCTGTATGTGCAACAAGAAGAGACTCTGAGATGCTTGGGAAAAATGACATGGAGCTCACGAGGCCACAAGCTCTCAGGGATTTCAGCAGACTGCATACCCTCGTATCGACACGTGCTCGCTTCCGGCCTGAGTCGGCCTAACTCGCCGAAGAAGGCCGCCGACGTCACCCACAGAATGTCCTTTCTCTCTTGTAGACTTTCTTTTATCATGTACAGGATAAGATTCTGAAGCTCGTGGGGCCAAGTATATGCATTTTTCTTGGCTGTCTCGAAATCTGGATCTATGGCATCCGGATTGGTGCGGCGCTTGCGGTGGGCCATGGCAGTGAAGATGAGACCCAGGGAGTACACATCACCCTTCTTGATGTTCTCTTCATTCTCCCACCCAGTCTGGCTTCTCTCCGGAGCATGGTACGGGCTTGCAACCTTCACAGAGTTGAATGCAAAATCCTGCGTGCCCTTCGCTGAGGAGAAGTCCGAGATTAGAACGCGGAAATCACCGTTCTCCATCTGCTTGAGTAGCACATTGTCCGGCTTCAAGTCTCGGTGTGCAACCTTCATGTCCTGATGCAAGTACTTCACAGCTTTTGCCATTTCCTGCATGCGCCTTTGACATGTCTGCAGCCAACCAAGCGTCATCAGTCTCCCCGTGTCAGCACTTTGCTCGTAGACAAAACGCTCGAGGGTTGTATCAGCAAGCTCCATGAGGATGCCACAATCAATTCCGCTTATTGTCTTCCAGACTTTCGCATCTTTAGCCTTTATCTGCTCGCCGGACATCTGGAACCAGTCAAAGGTCTTGATGATGTACTCGTTCGTGAACGATGCCGCCGTCTCAGCTTCGCGCCTCCCCTCCGCCCCTCCAACGAGTGAGTTGTGCAGCAGCTTCAAAGCCAGCTTCTCCCCGCGCTTCTTGCCTTTCCACCCATCCACAAGCAAAGACACGCTGATCACCGTGGTGAAGCCTGGGCGGGGAACAGCGTACAATATGACACCATGGATATGATACTATTTATACAATCAATGATATCTATTTAAATGTCTATCTTTAGATATATGTACATATATATACATATATATATATGTCATGACGGTGGGGAGGCGAGATGCTTAGGATTGACGCACGCGCTTCACGATGTTTCTCCTGGTCCGGGATTCTCTTGGCACTACGTTCAATGGCAAAGGTTCCTTGCAGAGTCCGGTGACTCTGTGGTTCTTGGGTCTGCAACGGCTCCCCTGCTAAAATGCCACACCGCCCCGCAACTTGGCCAGGGAGCTGCCGCAGCTTAGAACATCGAGGGCCCGAAGCTTGACCATCTCGCCCGAAGCAGTAGATCTCTGGATGGTGTCGTCTGGGGCACACCTTTGTTCTTGCGAGGCCGGGATATTTAGAGCAGCAAGATTTGCGGGAGCATCGGCCGACATTTCCCCACGAAGGGCTGTCAAGTGTCTTGTTGTCGAGGGCAAACTCCTCCCTGTCTTGCAGGGCCGCGATGACCTCCTCCTGACCGCCCTTCCGCATGTACAGCATGTAGTGGCGGTCATCTTCAATGTCCCTCGGATGCCCCCCACTCCACCCAGCAGCCGATCCAGCCCCTCAGTTCCTTCTAAATCCCCAACCTCCCTCTTGATGCCGGGAAGCATGGGGGAGGATTTGAACTTCGAGTGCACGATGCCTCCAGAGAACGTTCGCACATGCGCAACCTGTTCGACTTCCATCCTTCAAGCAGTCGGAAGCCTGTCCGATCCCGAGTCCACGTGCCTCTGTGGTCCAAGCAGGCGATGCCAAAGTACCTTGGCAGCAAACTGTACACTTTGGCTATATGCGCTGCAAGTATCTGCAAGTTGTATGCAAGCCCTGTCGCTGCACAGTGCGATTGTGAGCCACCAATCGAGACAGTCTAATTGCCCGGGCTCCTACCAACCATATTCGGACCCATTCAGTGCTGCCAAAACACTGCCGCAACAAATAACACTCCTTGCTGGCCTCCTGGAGGGATGCCAGGGAGCCTGATACGGCCAGGAAGTTGTTGATGTAGGGTTCCTGTGCAGAACCGAGACTGGAGGCATTGACAACTGACAGTGGCAAGGACAGCGGCAGACAACATTGGCGGCAACACGCGTCTTGGAAAACATGCAAATGATTGGTATTAGGAGGCCCTGTGTGCCCTCAATCAAACAATAGCCACTTCAGGTGCGTTAAAGACGTACTGAGGCCTTGAAAGCCATTCTGCTTCCACCAGCTTGCTAAGTGCTGCAACGGGCCTGTCATGATTATGCGCTGCGTGGCGCAGTGCCCAACGCATGGTTTGCGCTGTTCTGTGAATTTGTTCGCAGCCAGGCATCTTTCTGTACGGCAAGCTTCCACTGGCCGCTTGCGAGCACGTCTGGCGGCAGGACCCGGGTAAAGACCTTCCTGGAGAACACTCACTCTGTCGCTGTGGCAGACAAACGCCCCCTTTGTCCATGCAAAGACGGAAATGTCCAAAAAATCTAGTTCTTGGGCAGCAAGTGGGCAGGGGAAGAGAAGTGAAGCACTTTTTCCTTCTTGCAAGCTTAGCAGCTTCCAGTCTTTCAGCGCGTTGCGCGCGTCTGTGTCGAACTCGTCTTCGTCCTGGCTCCAAGATTCCCACATCCCGCCTGACCAGCTCACACAGAAGGGAAGTGACAGGGTCCTGGAGATTGAACGCTGCCTCGACATGCTCGCCAAGCCGAAAAGGCCAGGCTTTGACAACCGCGATGTTTCCATCGTCGCGTTCGAACGTGTACCTGAGCTCCACAGAAGGCCTAGAGGGCCTACGGCCAAACAACGAGGTCTCGTCAAAGGTGCGACATTCATAGGATTGCTTGCCATCCATGACGAGCATTGCTTAGAAAAGAAGTCGGGGAAGATGGGTAGCTTTGCCATCGTGACGGTTGAATGGGTGGATTGAATTCGGGGGAGCTCTGCTGGGAAATGTTTTGTCAACACATACTGTATCTCGTTTAGCGTTGAGCCTGCGTGTGTGCAGATCCAGCTGAACATGGTAAGGTCTGGGGATGTAATACAGACTCACATGGTCGCGATTTTCCTGGCCCTTGACAACAGGCCCTTCAGCCATCACTACCAGGCAAGGCGGCAGGGGAAAGCAAGAGAGCGAACAAGAGGGATATATGGAGAAAAAGAGAGAGAGAGAGAGAGAGCGAGAGAGAGAGAGAGAGAGAGACACACAGAGATCCATAGATAGCTACCTACAGAGCAAAAACGAGCGAGATAGATACAAGAAAAACAAATGGACAGGATGCGAGAGCGGAACAGAGAGTAGAGTAAAGCGAGATTGATAGGCACAGACCCACATCGGAAGCGATGCTACTGCGGTCGCATTGCTACCACTGCCACCAGCGTCAAATATTCATATTTCTAGAGTTGGTGTTTCTCTGATGGCTCTCCGCTACGAACGCTTGTCAGTTGAAGCATTGAGGCGTGCCCCGAGGAGAGTTGCAAAGGCGGCACCAGCGTGAGCAGGCGACATGTCAGGCTCGGAAACTGGATGCACCGAGCAGGCAAAGAACCACCAGCTTGTGGGACTTAACAGCTTCAGATCATGGCCTCGTATTGGGGCATTTTTGAGTGATTGACAGTCGATCAGGAAACGGCTACTTTCTGGAATTTCTCCTTGCAGATGCGACCCAAGACACATCTTGCACTCGTCTGACAGGTCGTCAAGGGCGCGCAAATTCATGGGCCGGGCAGGGCCCCACAGAGCCTGCCGAACCCTGCTCTTCGCCTTGCACTCATCGCACTCTCCGCAGCGCAGGGTGTTGGAATTCTCCTTCTTGCCATTAGGCAGGACGGTGATGGTCTCTTTGCTGCAGAAATTCCCCGCCGGCATGAACACGAGCCTGGGGGCTCTGGGCAAACTGGCAAACCCAAACCCCAGAGTGCTAGAAGAACCCCAAAGGATAGAAAAAGGGCACGCAATGGGCACACCTCCATATCATCCACGATTGCTGCTTTCACTAAATGCGTTTAAGAGCCACAAGCCTGCGCACTTGCACTTCGTGCTCCGCGAAGACTTGAATGCCTCCTCGTGTCTCCATCTCCTGGCAATCAAGATTGCATAGACGCAGTTTCGGCCCGAGCGATGCAACTTCTCTCAAAGAGGACCATGCGGCTACCAACAATCGTGAGCCCTAAGCGTCCCAAAGGAATGCAAGCCTGCCTGCTACGTGCACAGCACTACATCCGAAAGAAAGCGCCATCAACTTAAATGACAGCTCTTAAGTCCAAGTGCGAGAGCCTGCAAGGCCTTCAGCAGAGGATCTCGGATCTCTTCCCGCGTTTTTGCCTAGAAGCCGGTGGCAAGCGCAGCACTAGAAATGACAAGCTGTCCACTCCGGAACTGACCATTTTGAAAACATCTTCTCACATGTTGTTGAAGCTGCCAGGTGGTGCGCCGATTCCGGGACTGACTCACGCTGCCATGGGCTGCAATCAAGGCACAACTGCAGCAATTTCCGCGCCATCTTCCAACCCTGCCTCCTGGACGGTCTGACCTTTGCCTAAGTATTTCGAGTCAAAACGAAGATCCTCAATGGCACATTCGAGCTTCTCCTCCGCAACCTTCAGCACTTCCTGCACCGTCATCGCATCGTGCACTATGTGCACGGAGACGGGGAACATCTCATCTGCATGCTCCAGGCTAACCCGCACCACGGCCTGCCGCAGAATGCAGAGTTGAGGGTGTTGTGTCCTAGCATCCGGTACTACTACTACCGCTGCAGATGAGACTTGGAAAGATTCGACGCAACACTCGAACGAGGCAGGCAAGAATTCAATGCTCATCGAAGACACCACTTTGGAAAGGTGAGACGGTTCGACAGTTAGACAGTTAGACCGCTAGACCATAGGATCGCAATTCTAGCTGCAAGTTCACCGGACCTAACCTTGCCCTAGGCCCTAGACCACGACCCGAGACACGTGCAAACGAGGACGAAAGCCATGCACAGTCCTAAGGTTCTGTTTCGTGTATGTGTCTGCAAGGGATCTGCTGTAGCACTGCGACACTGTGGAGAATCAGCTGCCACCCACAACAGCGGCCAATTACAAATCGATTTAGTAGCTGCTTCTTGATGTTCATGTCGGCAGGTGTCCTGCATGCATGCTGTACGTGAGGTTCTTCTTCCGTCCTGGTCGTATTGGACGTGATGCAAGCAACGATGATGCGGATCTTGGCCTAGATACGGGCCGTAGACCAATGGAAGATCTTAGAGGCACACGACTTGGCGTCTCCCCTATTGTGGCATAAGCGTCTTTTCTAAACTTGAAAAGGCCTGAGATACAGACCTCATTGCGCAACATTGCCGTGGGCGGAGACTTGGGAACACTTTGGTGTGGAGAACGTAAAGGGAAGCTACAGATGCTACTGTACACGGTCCAAGCCCAGGGCCTCAGCGATGGCGGTGACGGTCTCTATCGGCTGCAAGGTGTCCACGCTCGCCGTCTCTTCCAGGATCGACCCATCTTTACGAATCAGCCGGGCAATCTGAACCCCGAGCTTCTCCTCTGCAGCATGCTTGACATCACGAACGTACTGGCTCCCCCTGTCCGCGGAGATACATGTTGTTCGGCCGCTGAGCAAACTCACCACCACCTGAGCAAAACCCGGCCGCACCAGCAACTCCATTATCAATCCGGCAAGCTCGTCGTCGGACTTCCCCCGGCAGTCTTTATAGGCAACATTGTCCAAAAAGACCGCATTGACGAGAGCTCTGGCATCCTCATCCTTGGGCTGAGGCGGCCACACCTCTGACATCCTCAAGGGCACAATCTTCACATGCTGCGAGTATGATATTCTCAGCTCGTGGAAAGTGTCGCAGTTGACTCCTGTACGCTCGCCATAGTCCTCGGTGCATACTGCTAGTAGTATTCCTTCTTCCATTCGGATCTCATCCAGATGCTTGAAGACCTCCATTGCAAAATCGTCACCGGCGCCCGGGTTGACTAGGCGCACTGGAAAGTCATTCTGCTTCACAATCTGGAAGACTCGTCGGAATTGCCTGGCAGCATCTTGATCGTTGAAGCGCATGCTGAGCAGCCCTGGTCGCAGCGATTTCTGCAAGGGCATAGAAGACCCGACCTCGAAAATGCAAGTCGGACAAGTTCCCTTATCCAGCGCAAACCCCCTCAAAAGACGAACACCGCCTCCTTACCAGACACCATCCGAGTTGCGGCGCCAAGTGGTTGCCTGTCATCTTGATGAAACAAGGCCTATGACCCACCACCAAAATAACCGATTTTCCTGGCAACCTTTCTTATAGAGTTCGACAAGGGCACCCCGAAACCGCGCGCTTTCTGAGTTCAGGACAGCCGAAAGAGACCAAGGGCTGTCGGATTGTTCAAGGTGTAGACGGTCTGAATCCGGTTGGCGCAATCTGAAACCATGGCTTGTATCGACCTTGTATCGGTACCAGGACGGCCGAATCGGAAAGGAAACGATTGAAAAACGGCCGGGAAACGGGAGCGGGTTTCTGATTCTCTGGCTTTCCCCCACCCCACCCTACCCGACTAGAGAGCCCGAAGGTCGGCCCCCAGCTTGCAATTGAAGAGGCTCACCGCCCTGTAGCAAGGACCTCACGTTGCTAAGACACCGGCAACCCACCCGAACAAACGAACTCTGTGAAGCTGTATACTGCACAGCATGCAAGACCAAGAACTGCGGGTCTGTGGCCTTGAGAGGGCAGCCCGTCTGCCTTCGCTTCCTTCGCCCTGCCAAACATCACCAGGTGTGAGGGTTGAATCATCTGTGTTCAGGCAGAGGTGGACACATCTGCACAAACAGTACCTCTCCTCGGGCTCAGGCTGCTGGGGGAGCAGGTATCTGGCTGCCTTGGCTTTGCAAATCGCACTTTCTGGGTCCCGCAACAACACAGTACTGGCTGCAAGCTACCGTTGCTACCAAGAGCAGAACTCAAAGGCTCCTGCCCAGCTGACTCAAGGGGGTTTCGGATCTAGGGTTTGGAGCCGGGAGCCCATCCTCAAAGTCTGCGTCAACTGAGCCGCATCCGCTTGCTGCTGAAGTTTACCGAGGCTGGGCCGAGCTTGCCGCGTGCATCTCGTGGCCTGCCTGAGGCTGAGGCTTCGCGTGGAAAGACGAGAACGTGCCATGCGGCCCTGCGTGCTGTCGGCCCGAAGGAAAAACCACGATAATAAGAAGATAGCCAGCTTCATACGCGGGGCCGCGTGAGAATGACACGTGCATGCAGGATCTAGAAGCCAGTTTTATTGAACAGCTCGACAATCAGGATAAGGACAGCCACCCTATCACGATACTAACCTACAGTGTGTCTGTCTCTGTGTGTCTGCTCGTGCGGGCACACCCGGGCCCTCAAATATAGATGCTGCCAAGCATCACAGTGAGCTTGGCAAATTCACGGATGGCAGGGAGCAAAGGAGCTTCCCACTCTGGCCGGTGGTCTCGCGCTCCCAACACTGCTTCAACAGCTTCAGCTTCGGCACTCGGGTCATCATCTTCAGATATCTCGGATATCTGCTCCTTAGGCTGTAGTTGTCCACGTGCCGGCCGTCTATTCATGCAAAAAGACTTCACTTTGCAAATGCGCATGCCCGCTTAAGTTAAGGCAAAGGTCGAGGAGGTCTGTGATGGATGGTGGTCCGCTCGAAAAGCTTCTCCTCCCTGTGATCATCCTGAAATCACGCGATGTCTGTCAAGGGGTGTGGCGAACAGGTTGCCAAATCTTTCATGAAAAGACAATTGACATATATGTATATATATATATGTATATATATATATATATAACATTTCAATTAATTAGTATCATTATCAAAACAAGGAAATGTACCAAACAATTACTCATGTTTCGTTTTTGTTCACCAAGACTGGTGACCGGTGAAGAAAGTCATGTTGGCAGTTGACAGCAAAATATTCAGGCTTTGTACTAGCCATTGGCCAACACTTTGAGTGTACAACAGACAATGATGAAGGTGCAAGCGGCTGCAGAGCGGTTACGCCAACGGAGAACACTTCGGACTTTTCGTCGAACGTGCGATCTCTTGTAAACTCTGGGCAGAGGAAACCTCCATCGCTGCCCAAACCCACAATGCCCAGGGCAGATGTTTTGTCATCGTCAACGAGTGGAATGAGTCTTGACAGACCACAGCCCACAAGCTTCGGGATCCAGTCTACCGTCAAGAACACGTTGCTGGGCTTCACATCCCGGTGGTAGCAAGGAGTGCCACTCACCCTGCGGAAAAAGTAGCAATAATCGAGAGCTGCCAATATGCCAATGAAAATCTTCACCCTGGACGCCCACTCCAACCTTGACGCGATCTCAAGACTATCAAGTGCTGCCTTCAAGCAGGTCGCGCCCGTTGGAAAGGAGTAGAGGAGGACGGTGGATTCTTCACTCTTGCTGTAGCCAATCACGGAAAGGATGTTCCTGTGCTCGAAAGCAGCGAGTGTCTCCAGGTCTTGTCTTGTCAGATCTCGCATGTGCTGGCGGTAACCTGGGTGCTTGCTCTCCAGCCGTAAGGCGGCAAACTTCAATCCGTCCGCATCTCTGGCCTCGTATATAACTCCGAAGGTGCCTCCCCCAAGTCTGCGCTCCGGTGCCCAGTTCTTGGTGCAGTCCTTCACATACTTGGGCTCAAACTCGGCAAAGCCGTCGCTCTCCGAGCCAAGGTTCAAGGTGCGCGACATGATCCCCCAAAGACCTGACAAGACTTGCAACCGGAAACAGTCGTTCTTGCACAGCAAAGCCATATTGCGCAATGCTGTAAGGCTGTATATAAGACCCTGACCTGGAGACCACCATTACAAAGAACGGCGCCAAGATCGCAAAGGCATGGGCGACGCCCAAATATCGCAATCTCTGATGTGAGGTGTTGAGGGTTTAGAGGCATGCATGCACGCGACCTGGTGGCTCCTAATTTTGGCTTGAAGATCCATATTGTTTTATAAAATGCGAGGGTCAAACAGCTGCCTGGAGTCACACGGCTGAACATGCAAGAACACAAAAGCACTCCTTACGCATTTGCAGGCAGTGGTCCGGCCTGCTGACGGCTGGAGCCGTGGCACTCCGTCACAGCGCCAAACATCACACACAGACAGGGCTGCCGATTCGTGTCAAGTCTGGAATGTGATGTGCGGTTCTACGTGCAGAGCATTTTTTGCGCAGCAGACTTTTTCTGACATCCAGAAGCATCACACGAAGATGGCAGAGAACCTCTGGCCCAGTGGAAGCGAGAGGCTCCTTGGGTGCCAATGACGGGGCGGCGACAGCCTCCTCACTTGCAGGGCACCTGCTCTGCTTGCTGCAAGACCGGGCGACCTCAACGCCGCAGAACACCGTAGAACGGCTCCTCATCCAAGACCATGTCACCATGTGATTTTGTTGGTTTTCGCAGCTCAATACTTGCTAACATCTGTGCTTTCGCCAGGTGGTCTTGACCGGCGAGGGGGCTCATGTGGATCGCCTCAGATGGTTTCCTGCAACGCTTGGCAGCACCGTTCCTCTAACTTCTCACTGTCCCCCCAACAACTTGACGAGGTCCTCCTGGACGTACCCTTTTCTGCGACGGTCTTGTGTTCGATCCAGCTCAAGGCGGTCGCGGTGTCCGCAGCCTCTTCGCAACTTTGTCGGCAATCTTCTCGTCGGACACACCAACACAACCTGCATAAGTAAGGCCCATGTGCAGCACCTTTCTGACGAGAGCCTCCGCATCCTCATGCTTGGGTTGCGGGGGATACACCTCCGACATCTTGAGCGGCATGATCTCGATCCCGTTGGCATGAGCATATCGGAGCTCTTCGTATGTTGCCCACGGGTTGCCGGTGCACTCGCCGTAGTCTTCCGTGCAAAACGCCACAAACACCCCCTTCACCTTCAAGATCCTGAGAAGATACCGGTCGACGATCTTCCCAAAGTCTTCTGGATTGCCCTCCACGATGCAGACCTCATAGCCACGCCCTCTCAGTATGCTGCACACGTTCCGGGCAGTCTGCTCCACCGGGCCCTTGTCAAAGCGCAGGCTGAAGAATGCCAGCCGCTGCCCAGAATCCTGCTGCGGCTAGCAGGGGAGAGGTTGTGTGAAACAAGTCTCAAATTCAATTTGGCTTATGCTAATCTGCCGCACAAAATTCAACAGCATGGTGTGATGATGCAACAGCTCACTGTCACAATGAGGCCTGTGAAGATTCAGGTGGAGTGGACTCCGTCGCCCCCTCCCCAGCGGGCACCTGGAAGGGTGAGTGTGAGGCATAGCTGCGTGGGTCCCCTCCCGTTCCCCTCCAGGATCTGGCGAGGAATAGCTGGAAAATTCTTAGGGATAGATGGTGTCGTGCATGGCAAGCTGGGAAGCTGCAGCCTAGCCTTTTTGATGACACATTTTTGGCGTTTCAGCTGCTGCTCGGCGTCTTCAGCCTCTGTTCACTGTCTAGGGCGGGCTGCGCAGTGCATGGGTTAGCAGCAGTAGCAGCAGCGGCGGCATCCGGCCGGTGACGCAGCCGTGATAGAATTCCCGGGAGGGGCTCCGGCGCCGGGCTGGGCCAGCGCAAGAAAGCGTTCACCGTGGAGTGTGTCTGAGGGTCTGAGCGTCTGAGCGCAGAACTAGAATGCCCCGCTCAGACACACAGAAACTCAGACACGCTCTCAGGCACTCAGAAATTCTCGAGGGTCTTACGGTGACGTAGGTCACTGCGTCACTGGGTCTGGTCTCCCAGCGTCAGAGTCTGAGAGACTGAGAGAGACTGGGTCTGGCCTGGGAAGGTAAGAGTCTGAGTGAGCGACTGAGAATTGTTTTGAGAGGCTGAGTGACTGAGCGCCTGAGCGTCTGAGCGTCTAAGCGTCTGGCGCCAAAACAAAGACGCAAATCCAACAGTAGCTGTCCTTGAATCTGGACACCGATGCTTTTAATGCATGCTTCTCTGTCCAGATTGTCCCAGGTCTCCAGGATCGCAACTGTGAGTAGAGGAGGGGTGTCGGCACGGAACACGGGCTCGTTTTGGTTACCCTGCGCTGCCTCTCCTCAGCAACCCACACTCAGTCTACAAAATCAGGGAGCCGTGAGCACACAGAGATGGGCTGCAATCTCTAAATCCCTCTCCGTAATAAGACCCGAACGCCCAACCGAACTGGTAAGGACTTTCCGGCCTTGTACCGGCGGACGAAAACCTGGGCGCTGCAGTCTAAATCCTGAAAATTACATGGTCTGCAGGGGGGGGGGGAGGTTATGGGCTTACCCCATGACCACGACAAGCTGTTTCCCAGCTTAAGAAGAGATGACACACATACACATGTGTATATATATACATATTACGAATAGTATTAGAAATAACAATCTTAGTCATACATTGACATAATAGTGTGATCGTCTACTAATTAAAATAATAACATAATGTTTTGCCTCTGGCTTGTTGAACTCTCTCAAATTCGAGGCCCGGACACCATCCGCTCTGTCCGCTTGCGGAGCCTCGATTCAAGGCTGTCTTCCGCTGCCCGTTTTTGGGGCCTTGAGACTGTTGGTGTCAAGCACACAAGGTATCACAAGGTAGCCAAGGGCCCGTGTACGGTTTGAAGCCCTTTTCATAATATGAAAAGGGCTATTTATGACTGGCAAACAGATCCAGCTCCACACAAACAGTGCTGCTGCCCTAGTAGTTGTCAACTAACTATTCCTCCGCCAAGCCAATTCTCTGAGCATCAACGACCCGGGAGCCCTGCGCGGATGGTGAGGGTGCGCGCTCGGCACTGGCGACGCTTGTCCGTGTGCTTCTGAGCCTTGTTTTCTTGGGGACAGAAGCTTTCAAGCAGACCCCCACATGGGATCGACAAAGCGCTTTGACGGCTATGGAGGGCTTCTTCACAGACCAGCGGCTCTCTCCGTCAGCTCGAGTGTCGAGCGCGGCACATCCCCAATCCCACCTCGGGCAAGGTGAAAGCTGAAGATATTTTTTCTGCAGTTTCCTTCAAGGCTTCGACGGTGGCATCCCCTGCCTTCGAGCACACGAGGCTGGGAGCTGCTCGCGGAGGACCCAGAACCCTCGCTGCTCTCACACACCTGCGCTCTGCACCAGGACACGACCAACTTAACAAGTCGACATAATCAGCATTTCCACCTCGACTTGGCATGGCACAGCGGCTTGGATGTACCTGGTGCTATGAAGATTGTCGCTGAGTACTGCTGCGGGCTTGGACGCCTCTACCCTCCTATAAGAGTCCGTGCATGCCTCTGTCAAATCCTGAATTGCCGGGGTACACTTCCCCAGCTTGCTCGTCCAGTGGCTTCGGCGCATCCGGCGAACCTGAATGAACTCACAACGAGCTGCGACATGTTCGTGATCACACAAGGGCTCAATTACAGGCCGCCCCCCGCCCGGCGACTGGAGCTAATCGCATACATCAACCGTCGCACATACTCGTACTAGAGTCACGGAAGCGAGACTATAGTGACTATAGAGCCGCAGCATAGAAACAGGACGGACGGATGCTCCAACTCTGGCTTGCTGCACCGAGTCGCGGAATCTGCAGTGGCGAACCTCCCTCTGGTCTTGAACGAACAAGTCCACCTCATGCCCCGGCGCCGTCCACTTCTTCGGGGAGACCAACGGAAATCGCTGAAAGTTGACACTTCCAGGAGCAGGATGCAGGTGTTGTGGCGCGTTCTGCCACACCAGGTCCAGCGACTCCATGTGCTCATAAACACCTGCCCAGAAAGGTTCCTCACAGAGCTTGTAATCCTCCAAGATATCTTCATCCTGGAAGGCAGCATGCATAATGCTCTTGCACCTGGAGCATCCAGCGTGTGTTACGGCCCACTTGGCATGGAAGCTGTCGTTCATGAAGCATGAGATCTTGAGAGGCGCCTCTGGTTGCCCATCGGTCCCCACAGCTACGTGACAGAAGTGGTCCAAACGGAGGACCGCGTGCCCGGCCCTGAACTGCGCATCGGCGAGTCCGAGTTCCTCCCAGCTCCCCTCCTCCGAAGAGCGCCAGGCCTTTGTCGCTCCCAAACAGACCGGAAAGATCAGCAGCACGGGCTCCTCAAAGCGAATCTTGTGCGGGCGAAGATCCAAGATAGGACCCAGAATCACTGCGCCTGTTGGTAACGGGATCGCCCCACTTGCCAGGACATGAAGCTCCGGGGCGTGTGTCTCAGCCACGCTCGCGGTCATCACCATGAGAACCTCGTGGCGAAGCACCGCCACGAGGCCGCTGCCCAGCCCCACCAGCAGGCCTCCAGAACAATCCTGGAGCGAGAGGATTTAGGGAGTCCATATAGGATCTTCATGACCCGACCCATGTGTTCACCATTCTCTTTTGTGGGAATCATTCTATTGCAAAGCACACATGGCCAGCTTGCAACAGCTCCTGAAACCACTCCATCGGGTCGCACGTGGCCAGGGCCGGCTCGCCTTCCCACAGGCACGCAGGGACATGCATAACAACGAGGCGTCTAATTAGAGCGTTCGAACTGTGCCAGAAGATTGTCAGAATGCATGGAACCCAGAACTGTAGCGCAACAGCTGTTTCAGGAAGATTTGCTAGGCACCATGTCCAACCTCCCAGACATCGACCTTCTGAATGGGCTTCGCTGAAGGAATCTCCGTCCTGTGGGAGCTGCAGCGCTTAGGACAACCGTGGCTTGAGAATACTCCGGACTCGAAGACGAAACTGTTCGTGTCCTTGTCTATCTTGTCTGCATCCACTCGTTGCGTGAAACTCAACGGGAACCTGCCATGCTTTATGAGAGACGCGGTATAATGCTGGATGCAATCTCGATAAGTTAACCGGCCTACAGAGAGCGCGTTTGTGCCTTCCTGACTCTGCATGCTTGGACCAAAAACGTGCCAGCACCACCACCCCGTCAATCGCGTCTTCCGGCTCCTGCCACAAACCTTGAAACTTGGCGGGCGAAAAGTGCCGCAATAAGCTCGGCTCGACATTGACTATGGCTTGCACGTGCTGACTGGAACCCCTTCACCCTCCTTGCTGAACATACTGGGCTCCCACCCATCTGTCGGCGACATTCTCACCATCATTCTCACCATCATCCTGCAGCGGTCACGCACGGAGAAGCCTGTCCCTTTGAGAGGGCACTCCGAACGCCTCTAGCACCTCGATGATGTCGCCCACGTGCAGCTGGAGCTCATCTGCCACGAACTTCTGCTGAGCTGCATGCATTGCCCTCCTTTTCTGGTCTACCTATCTGCGCTTCTGATCTGAAGTCCTTGTGTCTCAGGCAGGAAGTCTGCGGAGATGACCTCGCAATAGTATGGGACCTGCGCCCAAGAAACTTCCTGTCTCTCTTCTGCCCCCTACAAACTCCAAACCGGGACGACTCCTCTATATCTAACATTTGACCCACACCTTCGGCTTGTCGGGCTTGTCGCTCTTCGCAGGCGATCGCCCAGCGAAGACGTTGATACCGGCCTCGCTGGTGGTCGTGTGACGGAGCTTTCAACTTGACAGGCGTTTCCGGGTGCCCTGAAATCTGTCGCTGCAAGTCGGAGATGTTCATCCTGTTGATGAGGATTCAATTGGAAGGCGAGGGGCGCGTGGCGGGATGGCTGTGGGCTGAAGTCCATGGCTCCCTGCGCGGATTGCCGCTGGGAGGCCTGCAGACGTGTGCAAAAACTTGCAAGGCCGCGAACTTCTTTATGAAGGCTGCCAGTGAACATCAGACAAAATGTAGGGTGCAACCTGAGAGTTGACCTGCCCGTACCTCCTTATGCCGCGACTTCACATAGTAATTCAACCTTTTTAACAGTAACAGCCCCCACGACACTGTGCCCGACTTTTTTTCCCGACTTGCCCTGTTTCTCCCAGTATTGTTGCTGCTTGCATGTGCTGTGCCCGACAGAAAGCTTTATCCACACTCCGTGGCCTCAATCGCACGTGTCCTAAGGCCCTAGGGACGCTGGACCCACTGTGTCTCCACCATTTTTGTTTCTACCAACCGTCGTCGTCCTGAAAACCGCCTTACAGTTTGACGAGAAGCTGCATTCTAATGTGCCCGGAACAGCAGCAGCAGTGCTTTGCGAGCAGTTTCAGACACAAAAACAATTCACGGCAACTTCACTGTAGGAAAGCAAAGGTAAACAATTTAACTCAGAAGGTTCCGCATGCCTTGGCTTGCCGCTGACAGGAAGTGGCAGGAATTCAGGTAGACTCTGCACAGGCCCTCCTGCAGCAACGCGCTGCGCTGGACATCAGCTGCAAAAGTACATTCTTCGGCTTAAGCCAGTCGAGCTGTCTCTCCTTTGCTGTGATCTCGACTTTGTGATCTGCCTGCCTCACGGACACAGGAATCGAACACGCAATCACGCAACCGGACAGCCTCGACGCATGATGCAACACCGCGTCAGCCAAAAGCTTTGTGCAGAGTGCTGCAGCGCACCCGCCTGAACACGATTCTGGCGCCTTTCGGGCTGGACCAGGTCACAGTTTCCTGGTCCGGAACAGCACAACCTACCGGAACAAGCATTCCCCTCCTCCTCCTCCTCCTCCCCCTCCCCCGTCATCAATCGAAAAGCGAGCGACTTCCGGCGGTTACCTTATGAGTCACTTATGAAGGCACCTGACTTACCTTGTTCCCCAGATGTCAAACGACTGGTCGCCTTCTTGCCTGAACCTTTCGGGCATTCCTTCTACTCACTCCACACCGGAAGAATTTGAAAGAGTTCAGGTTTCAGTCGGCAAGTGGGCATTTGCACGTTCTGCTTGGGCCTTCTCGTAATCCATGTCGACGCGGCCTTCTTGCCCGGTTAGCGCTCTCTCGATCTGCGTCTTGAACTCCTAGCTTCCGAAAGGGCATTAACGATGATGAGTCAGAAGGGCCGCAAATCTGAAATCGAAGACTGCGACGGTGCGCTGCTTCAGGCCCCCTCCCCCACGCTTCCTCCACATCTCCTTGAAAGGAGCGCGTGATTTTCCTCGTAGGCTCCTTCAGATCGTGCAACCGCGCACTGGAACAATGGTGCGGTAGAGCATCGACAAAAATCGTCACATGCGCTAAGAGCTCGTTTAGTCACACAGGGATGCGCCTCAAACCGAACTCGACCAGGCCCTCTGCCTGGCATTGTGTCCGGTGCTTATAGGCAGATGGAATCGTCGAATGTAAGCATTGCCAAGCCGCAAACCATCGTTGCGCAGACGGAATTGGCTTTGCTAGCTGCTAGCATCTGTCAACTAGTTTTGCTCTGAACGAGATCGAGACTTTCCAGCAAAGCCCGGTGGAGCTCGACAATTAAGTTTAGCCAGAACTCACCACCCTGACACGGCCCAGAGGGGCTGAGGAAAACATACGAGGCAGAGTCCCCTTTCTCCCTGTCAGACTCTTGACATCACTGAGGCGAACCAAGAGGTAGCGGAAGCGTATGTCGAAGCCCCAGAACTGGCAAGTGCTGCGGGTGTGTCAGGTATGTAGGTTCGGAACATCGATGGTGCGTCAAGGAGTCTGTGGCTGCGCCGTTTCCCGTGTTAATGAACGGTGTTCGACTGTTCGAGAAGCAGATCAGCAGAATTGCAGAGGATACTATTGAACATGACCTTTTGATTGTACCGTTTTCAAAGTCTAAGAGGGTTGACCAACTGTTGCCAGTTGGAGCAAGAAGATCGGCCCTAAAAACATGAGCCGCGTGGTCTCGGTCAGTTGGGGCTGATTTTCCTGGTTCACAGTCTGCAGAATACTGCCCAACACTCCTCTGATTGTTCAGCTGGTCTTAGAGGTCACAAATAGGATAATTTGCAATCCGAGTCCAACATCTTCTCAGAGAACGAGCTGGATGCCAATCCACTGCTGGGGTTCCTTCGATGCTAAACAACAAACGGACTCCCGTGCATGAAGAAGCAATCCTATGTGGCTTTGGGTACTATAATTAAGTGGTGTCGAGGAAAGCCCCAAACTCCTTGGCAAGAAGTTTGCGCTCTAGCCCTGCTTTATGATCGGCTATCAGGCCTGAAGCAGAGCTCCTACATCGTGACTTTGTGTGTTTAAACTGGCCTGGGATGCTGGCTTCGTAGGCACCGCTGCCAGCCACAGAACGGAACTGGCACAGCAGGGACTGCGCACAACGCTAACTTTCCGGAGCCCTCAGTCCTTTCCCGCACAGCGGTCTTCACTCGGGCTGGGCCCCTTTGAAAACGGAGAGCACATGGCAAAAGCAACAACTGGGAATCGTGTTCTTACGCACACCAGACTGGGGCAAGAAAGCGCTGGCAGCTTCTGAGCTATGGCCTTGATCGTTCCAAGACGGGCCGGGGCACTGCTTGTGTCCCTGGGATGCATGCAGGTCAGGGTCACATAAGATCAGCGCACTAATTACAGTTCACTACCTCTCGCATTCCAAGCCGCTGAAAGCGTGACATTGTACGGGGGTCTGTTGTTGGCACACCTGCACCAAGTGCCAGGCGACATGTCAGATCTATGATGAGTGCTTCGCATGCCTTGACAGGCCTTGAACTATTCGTGCCTAATTTATTAATACCTAGCCAGAAACTGAACACGTGTCATGCAGCTGAAGCGAGGAGCTACCAGACAACTTCGACGACCACAACATGTCCCAAAAATCTGCAAATGCAAGCAGTCCGTTTGAGTCTCAAACACGCCGGAATCTGTGCTGCATGGGGCCCGTAAGGAACACACCATTCTTCAACCACAGCAAAGCCATTCCCCAGAATTGAGTGTTTGCATGGCGTTCTGCGAGCGATCTGGCTCCATGCAGGACACAGTCGAGAAGTTGCTCTGGACTTCAGATGACAAGCTTCCTTCTGTCACGAGGGTGGGATTCGAGACGGCTCCTTGGAAACAATCTGACATCATGTTCTGCCGCTGAATGCGTAGCGGCACAGCGACAGAGACCATGGCAAGCATATTCGAGCACTTGCCGCACCCATCACGATGGGTTCAAAGTATGCTTGTTCATGGTACAGTATACAGTATGTAGCCCAAGAGCCACAGGACAAATTTGGAGAGAATTGCATCTTGCAGGTTTTCCCCTTGATTCTCTCGGACACAGGGTCCCGAGCATCAGGGGGCACCTGACTTGCGTGGCTGGTGTGAATTTAATTTGCAGAGTGGAGCAGAGCCTCAGGGCTGAATATCATCCGCGGCAATCGAAACAGCGTTGGGCATCATACCCAGTGCTAGCATACGCCCCTCGAAGCACCCCCTTGCTGTGGACCATATGGCAGCATTCTGTGATATTCTGTGGAAAGAGCCACGGTCACGACCCCACGGATGCCAAAGAAAATGACCTCCCCCGAGCCGCGAGCTTCCGGTGAACAGTCACAGCAGCACTCCACATCAACAGCTTTCCATCAAATTCCTCTAAACTCCCAAGTGTCGGCAGCCCTCTGCTGGACCGCAAGCAATCACCCAACGCCGCACACGGAGAGGGCCTGCCAGAAACGCATGCCCGGAGCTGGTGGCTCCGTCTGCTGGGATCAGCACCTGACCAAGGCTTCATCAAACATGTGCGGGACTAGGCCACAGGCTGGTGATCTTCTTGGAAAGAAAGCAGAGACTAATCTTGCTGGGTCTCAGCTGGAATGACAGGAAGCAAAGCAGAAAAGACATCATGATCAGCCAATGTGGTGCCCATCATCACGAGGCCGAGCCTCGTCAGTAGGTCTCAGATCCTCACCACTGTGCTGTGCAAGCGTGTGCTCGACCACCACACTGCCGTCCTCCTTCGCTCTCGCAATTTGCAAATCGAAGCCGCAGCCGCCTTGCGTGTTCTCTGCTTCTTTTCAATCCCATCCATCTTTAGCTTCCTGCGATGGGCAGTCCATGGCCCACCCTGTCCTCTGCCTCAGGGCAAAGCTGGCGAATTGCTGCCAGGATCACCTGGCTACAAGCGGTATCAAGGCAGATCCACACTGCTCGAAACGCACCTGCCTTTCGGTGACCTAGCGGCGCCACCCCCAGTTCACGGAGATCCTCGCGGGCCAATGCTTATGCGAGCTGCAAGCGACATCCCGCGCCAGGCAGCCTCGCTTGTTAAACGCGCCAATGTGCGGCCATCGATGAGATTCTCGTAGAAGCTGGATAAAAACCTAGCACGGGGAGCAAAGGGGATTCGAGCTGCGCTCGTGCTCCATCAACGCTTCCTTGTTTCAACAAAGGACTGGATTGCAAGAAGGCAGTCCTGAAACCGGCCCAGCCTGGCCCAGCTGCTGGAATCGGAAGGTCCCAGCTGCCTGAGCCAAGTCGCCACTTCCTCCGCGGACCAATCGTCGAACCTCGCTTCAATACCAGCTCGTGTCTGACAACCGCGTCTACAAAGGTTTACACTTGAAAGCCCTCCATGCGAACTGTGTCCGCACACGGTAAAGACACCAAAAACAAACAAAACACCTGGCAGAACTTGAACAAGGCAACTCGACGCCACGACCGAGGAATCAAACGCGCAGCGGGGTCAGGAGACGTGCCGAAACACAAAACTAGTCGAGGAAACGAAGCGAAGAATTACAGAATGTTCGCTTTGCACATGCGACCAAACACACCCTGCCTCAGTGATGAAGGCTGTGATGCCTCCTGCAAGCTTCAGGGCGTCCATATCGCCGCACAGAACGCTTCTTTCCAGAACTGTTGCGTCTCCAGTGGCATAGGCCAAATCGATGCTGCAGAATTTGAGGTCAAACTCCTTCTGGATCAGTCTCGTCAGCTCACGACGAGATGTGTGAGCGGCTGCATTGACATAACTTCTCTGGCCACTTGCAAGCCGAACCTCAAACTCAAGCTCCATCATCAAGGGTGCCGTCACCGACTCCTCTTGGTGAGGTCTGAAAAAGGTCCTGTCCTTGGCAGGTGCGTGGGCCTCTGTACCTGTTGGGACCCCCTCATGGTCCAGGAACTATATATAAAATTCTCAGAACGATATATAAACTGTCCCAGCAAAAGGTTTGCAATCGTGCCATAAAGTCCGGAACCGCTCGGAACCGTTCTGGACTATACGTAAACCCGATCTTTAAAAATAGTTCGGAACGGTTCCGAACGGTTCCGGACCAGTTTTCACCACTGTGGGGCTTCAATTGGCGACCCTGAAGTGTGCGACGGTGCCTTGCTGCACAGTTATAAATAGTCCAGACCAATTCCGAGCGGTCCCGGACTATTTCTAAACAGTTTGGGCGACTTTGTATGCCCTCGACAGAGACCCCCACACACAAAGAGGCCATGTACCCCCCATCATCTTAGGTTTTCTGCAAAAGGCGGGCTGCGCCCGAAAGAGACCCGGAGGCAACGACCAAAACAAGCAGGCCCCAGCGTAAGATCACTTCAAGAGAATTAATTACTGTACTCAAACAAAAAGGGGGACCCCGAGAACGTCCAAGTACCCCCCAGGCCCGCTTTTACCAATAGCACCGAATATTTTCTATGTTCTTTCATTAGCGAAGAGAATTCTAGTAATGTTGCAGGCACGCAGGAACTGACTCATTACATGGTTAAACTATGTTCCAGCACTGGATTCACTTCGTCATGCGGTTCGCTCGTGAAACTGAATCCAACAATGAACAAGACGGAGCGAGAGTCTCGAAGAAGTACACGGTCGATCACCCATTCATTCCTTATAAAAAAATCCGGGACGTGAGGACACGACAAATAAGAATGCGAAACAAATATGAAAACCGAAAACCTGCTATCAGCCAGAGATTGAAGATTACAGGATTTGGGATGTCGAAACAGTACTACGTGGCATAGCCCTTTTGCGCAGAATAGGTGATACGCTGCCTGGCTTTGTGGCACAGCTGCCTCTTTGCCTGCGACAGGTCTGGGCCAGAGCCGCTGCGGATTCCGCCCTTGCCGGCCAGATAGCCAAGTGGCTGCCTTTGCTCCTGCTCGCCGTGCGCAAATGCGCAGGCCACACCCCTGCGGCACACACCTTGCGCGTGTGCACGCCCTTATAAGCAAGTTGCAAGCATGGTTGTCGAGCTTGGGCGGATGCATCATCATTGGGCGGATGCATCATCATCCTCACCACTTTCATCCGGCGCTGGCGTGAGTGCTGGCACCTGTATATTGAGATTGTTGTAGGAATAATAGAAGTACTGGAATGAATTTAGCTCATAACGTTCATCCAACTTCTCCGGATTTTTGTCCATAACGTTCTAGCGGATACAAAGTGAGCTCGATTGTCCCGAGAAGATACCATGATGATAGCGTGCATTTATAAAAAAATGTTACGGGCTACAAACTAAGGGAAAAGCGGCAGTTCTGCACTTGAGCGAACGGGACGGAGTCTGACCGAGCAAGAGCGCCGTTTGGACCCAAAACAAGCGCTGCAGCCAACAGCCGCACCCAGCTGCGTACAGCTACCTCTTATCCTAGCTGAAACAAAGGGTGAAGGGAGATCGACTTGAGGATTTGATAGTCCGTCAAGATAACGGATTTCGAGCGAGTGCACGAATCTACAACCGTCTTCTGGCCGCCCAAACGGCAACACACAGCAGCAACCGCAACGCCTTTCAAACAAATTCTGAGTCCCAGGCATAGAGAATTGCACCACGAGCACTATGCTCCTGATTCTCGCTGGATGAGGAGGGTGCCCTGAGTGCAGCAGCACCACTCTTTTGCTCGCGCAAATCTGGTCGCAGTTTTGGAAAGTCTTCTGCATCATGAATAGTTATAGCCTTTGCTGCAAAGCAAGGCCTGTGGCGGAAGGGGCTCTGTGTCCAGGGGTTGGGTCCAGAAGGGTTGCCGACCAGTTGCTACGATCTCCATGATCTACAGCAATGGGCGTGCAATGTGGGCCGCTAGCTGTTTTCTGCCACTTGCCCCGCTTTGGTGCAGGAGCGGAAGACGATATGGGCGAACCGTGCCCGACTTGCGCCACTTGCCCCATGCAGACCTGCCCCGCCCCCGTCACTCTGTGACCTCGGAGAGGTGGTGGAATTGGGCGGTGCAAATGCGGCAAGTGGGGCTCCAGCCACAGGTCTGCCTCAAAGCCCTCAAACCCAGCCCAATTTTGGGCAGACGAGGAGTGGAGAGTGTGAGGGACAATGTGCGAGAAAGTGGAGGGGCGGGCCAGCAGCAAAAGGAAAGTCGAAGGGGGGAAGGAGAAGGAAAAGGAAACTGGGACCCATCGTCTGCCTCAACGACAACCCAGTTTGAGGCAGACTCGTGGTTGAGGCGAGCATGGGGCAAGCCGGGTTGTGCCACCTGCCCCCACCGCTTGCCCCACGCGCCCCACCTGCCTCATGTTCAATGGTGCGGCTTGGCCCTAGCCACAAGTCTGCCTCAAAGACAGCTTGTGGTTGGGTCAGAGCCTGCCCCGCTCTGCCTCATATCACAGACCGGTCTGCGGCAGAATTGTGGTAGGTCAGAGCCTGCACCCTTACTGTTCAAGCCATGAGGCAAGCGAGGCAAGTGGGTGAATGGGGCAAGTGAGGCAAGTGGGGCCAACGTCGATTATTAGCTCTTCCGGAAAAGCAAGCGGGGCAAGTGGAGCAATGTCAATTACTGGTGGCCGTGGGCGCCCGCAATGCTCCAGAGCCTACCGCTCGCATCACAGGATACGCAGATGCCAAACCAAGGCGACACAGAAACTGAACAAAAGACGAGACAGCAGGAGGCAGCAGCTCAGAGAGAAATCCTGCCTTTTTTACTTCCCTGGGTTCAAGTAGAGTCTAAGGAAAGGATGCAGAAATGAATGTGGGGCGGATGCCGGTCAGGCAAGTAACAGACGTCGAACGGAAAACTGAAAAGTAGTACTCATATAAATGTATATATATATATATATGTCTACTAAACTACCGAGCATCCTACTAGTTGCAGTCTGACCATCATCATCATCATCATTATCATCATCATCATCATCCCAGACTACCTGCCCCATCTACTGCATCTACCACCCGGTCGTGAGGCACGACTCAGCTCCATGCCTGGAACTGGGCAGTCATCTTTCCATCTTTGCAGCAGAGCTTTTGGATTGGAACTCCCAATTGCTGCCGCGTCAATTCAAGCACTTCCTTGATAGACATGCCAGCTTGTACTGCCTTGGTCGTCTGCGTCTCGAATAGCGACTCCAGTACTTCTTTAGCCGAGGTGTCCTGACCTTCTGTTGCGCTCGACCGTGGATGCAGTGGATGCCGCAGCACTACTACAGGGCCAAAGATAAACTGCATCGCATGGCGTGCCATGTGCTCTGCTGTCCAACCCTCTGCAAGATGGTTGCGCTTGAGCTTCCTGCCTTGCTTGAGCATCCTGCCTTTCGTCACCAGCACCAAGATGATATACTGCTGCTGGTCGTCAGTCAGGATCTCTACGCCAGAAGCGATCTCCTCAACTTTCGGCTCCCACACCGGCTCCGGCTCCTGTGGAAAGAACACTCCGGCAGGGAGGGCCCGGAGCAATCCGGCAGAACTGCTTCCCTCATCGATCTCGTGTCGCCAGTCGACCTGGAGCAGTCCGGCAAGATTGCTTTCCTCATCAATCTCCCGTCGCCAATCAAAGCCGACCTCTGTGAGGCCGCCATCCTCGTTGATGCACACGCCTCGGACCACGACCATGGCGAAACTACGAAGATCGTTGCCGTACTGAGAAAGTTTTGCAATTGGGGCGCAATGTCATTCCCGACCCATGAACTATCACGAAGATAATACTGTATGCACATCCTGCTGAGGGCAGATGCGGCACGCCGCGATGCACATGCAAGCAATCCCTTAAGTGGACCCTCTTGACTATGCCTCGGCTACCACTCCCGGAGATTTGGAAGACACCCCAAGATGCCTACGACACTTGGAAACGTGTCTTTTGAAGTGAACCCCCTGGGAAGGTGGGATGCTTTGAAGCGCAGCGGCCAGATCTCATGAGCACAGCAACTTTCCTCTTCTTAGGGGGCCAGAACGCCGGAATCAGGCGGGTACGCCAGAACTTGGGTGTGTACGCTTTTTCTTGGGGTCTCATAACGCTTTTCTACGCTCCAATTTCGAGTTCTTCGGGATAGGTACGGCTATGGTTTTCTTTGGGGGGGGAATTGTAGGGGCATTCTGTGGAAGATCAATGCAAAGTCAGCCAGCTTCTGTCCGCCACATGTCTTGCAAGCAGCACCCAGGCAGCAGCTCAGCAAGGGCAGCTCATGTGGATCACCGCCTGATACGCTTGGCAGCCGGCTTCGAACCCTCTACACATATCTTGTATAACCCCTCAACCTTACGCTCCAGCACGTTCGTCGCCGAATACTGACTGAAGAGCGGATGCCTGTGCCAAATCTTCGAGCCGAGGAGTCCAGCCTCTGTTCGCCCCTCCCCTTTCAACTCATCTGCTGCAGTCATCAGCAGACGCTTGGCCACCATAGCTGCGCTGTGTTACACCCTTCCGCACCTCGAGGTGCAAGATAGAGCATGCAGAATATGAAAGTAGACCCCTCAAGGCTATCGGGGTCTCCGCAGCCTCTTCGCAACTTTTTCGGCAATCTGCTCATCAGACACGCCAACGCAGTCTTCCCGAGTAAGGCCCATGTGCAGCACCTTTCTGACGAGAGCCTCCGCATCCTCATGCTTGGGTTGCGGGGGATACACCTCCGACATCTTCAGCGGCATGATCTCGATCCCGTTTGCATGGGCAAATCGAAGCTCTTCGTATGTTGCCCACGGATTGCCGGTGCACTCGCCGTAGTCTTCCGTACAAAACGCCACAAACACCCCCTTCCTCTTCAAGGTCCTGAGAAGATACCTGTCGACGATCTTCCCAAAGTCTTCGGGACTGCCCTCCACAATGCACACGTCATAGCCGCGCCCTCTCAGTATGCTGCACACGTTCCGGGCGACCTGCTCCACCGGGCCCTTGTCAAAGCGCAGGCTGACGAATGCAAGCCGTGGCCCAGCATCCTGCAACAGGGGGTGTGAGCCTGATTGATGAGGAAAACACAGCCCAGTGGCCCGAAACGCCCTGATGATGCACAGCGACAGGTTGAACAAACAAATGTTTCGGTTTGCGCTGCATTCTCTCCCGTCTGAGAGTTCTGCTAGACAGACCGATCTCCTAACCCAGCTGCTTATCAGCATAGTGTGATGACGGAACGAATGAATCGCTGTGGGCGTCTTCCGAACCTGTCTGTATTACCCGAACATGCGCCTGCGAATGTTCTGGTGAAGTGGGCTCCGAGAGCGCCTGCAAGGGCCAGTGCTGTCGCATGATCTGACATGTCTGCAACGCTGAAATTGTGCCCTCGCAAAACACGCGCAACAAAGGGAATCAGGATCGCCGACTGCTGCTGCAGACACATTTGAAGCACCACCTCCACGCCACACTGACACTTGAACCTTGACGGCTTCTACAATGTGTGCTAGTAGCTGCTAGTATGCCCTGCACCCGACAGTGCGGAGAAGATTGGAAACGAGAAGTTAAACAAAAATCAGCTTCCGGCAGGGGAGCGGTCTTGACATGTCTTGACCATGGAGGGAGTTTGGGAATTTGGGATGTTTGGGATCAGGATGCGAAAGGATGTCGGCCATGCGTTCAGATTTGTCAAGGCGGGGGGTCTACGGAACAGGAACAGCCATGCGGACTCTTCAACCCACCCCAAGGCTCGAACCATGTAACCCACGAGCCCGAGTTTCCTGCTCTTTTTGGATGGCCTCGGCCAGCGAGAGCGCCGAGCCCGGAGCGGGATCCGAACCATGTTCTTCTCGCCGAGCCTTGCATTTCTGGCAAACCAAAACAAAGCTGGGCTTCCAAAGTGGGAAAACAATCCTTCGCTTAAGGCACTCCCCACTGCCTTTGAAGAACCAAAGGTGTTCATACTGTGTTCATGCAGGTTGACAAAGATCACTCGCCCCCGGCCCTCCCTACCCCAAACGAAGCTCCAACAAGTGCCTGGCCTTGTACTGGCGGACGAATGCCTGAACGCAGCAGTTCGTCACGCTGACCCTTCATATTTACAGCCCAAATTGAACTGACCATAAACCCTAATTAGACCCTATATAACCTCCCCGTTTGCACCCATACAACCCCCAAAGACCGCACATATTTCTTATTCGTTATTCATGCAAGACCTGTCTTGAGGTCTTGAACTACCGATCACACCCTCTAAGCCAAAGTCAAATGCGTGAAATTTGGAATGAAAAGGCCGTATAGGTCGGCCGTGGCATGTGTACGCGTAAATTTAGTATACTAATGTTCAAGACGATCACTTCCTCTTAGCTGAGGCTCTGGTATCCGCCTCTTAAACCGTCTACAGTCCCTTTAGATCTAGAGTTTCATTTAGGACCCTGTGGCGCTCCAATGTTCCCCGCACCTACACCACTTTGTACGAAATTCCCTTCATAAAAGCCTGTGGACTGCCAGGAAGCCCAATCTCTTGAATTTATGGCTTCCAAAGTTGGCCTAGAGAGATTCCGGCATATTTCGATGCACTTTATCATTCGCTCTTTTGGCCTAAGATTACAAGTTACAAGCTAGAAAGTTAATCGGCAAAAAGGTCTGCATCTCCACATCTTTTAATTTCTGTCATCCTTTTCACGCCTATTCAAAGCTAAGGAAGGAATTTTACGCGCGCGTTAAGCGTTTGCAAGCTCACCGTTGAGAAAGCAATATTATTTATAGCAGTGCTAACGGCGTGAATGACCCGGAGTCGTTTATGAAGGACAACGTGGTGTGCGAAGGCGCTTACGCGGAGGAGTTGTATGCCACAGCTGCCGTCAGTGGCCAATTGCAAGCAGTGACAAAACCCATGTTCTTGCAATGTGCAGCCTGATCGTTGAATGTAAAAAGCCTGTAAACAACGGGTGTGTTGTTCTGCAATTCAATCATAACGCCTGGCATTCGGCTCAAAAATCAAGACCTGCATTTTCAAGCAAAAAACTAGGAATACTTGAACACAGGTCTCTGGAGGCCGCAGGCAGAAAATGGCGATGCCAATCGCGCAAGCGCATGCAGCACGCTGGGCCCTGGGGGCGCTGCTCTCCAGGTCGAGCGGCACTGATCCAGAGCTCCTCCAATCGTTTCAAGCCATTCGCTGAGAGAACCTGTGGAAGAATGGAGAGGGAGGAAGGGAAGGGAAGATGTCCCCAATGACTGCAGGAAAAAGGGAGCGCTAAGGACTCCAAAGCGGATTTCATGCACTCTGCAACACCTCGACGGTTGCCAAAACACAGAAAGATGGCCTTCTTGTGCCGGACGCTCCTGGACAACGCCGGCTTCAGGGATCGTCCTCCTTCGTAACTAGCCTGAGCCAGACAGCTTCTACATTTTCCGAAGACGCGGCACACCCCAAGCAATCCTGCACAATTCTGCAAGCAGACGTCCATCGAGTCTGCGGGATGAAACGCAGCCCCTCTACACAGAAGAGGTGATACGCTGCTTCGCTGCGCAGCGCAGGCCTGTAGGCCACTTTCGCCGTGGGCAGAGTTGCAGAATTTGCCATGTCGGCAAAAACCTTTCTCGAAAAACTTGCTCTTTGCCCTCTCCTGCAACATGTCTGGGCAAGTCGGACCACGCGCCACAAACAGTGTGCGCTGAGGTTTGTCCCAGCTAGACATTGACATGTAATTGCATCATTCACATCGAGCGTGTGCTGCATGAGAGTCCGCCCGTGCCAGCCTCATAGCCAACTGGCTGCCTTTGTTCCGGCTCGCCGTGCGCATACGTGCAGGGCGCACCCCTGCTGCACTCTCCTTGCTCGTTCAGCTTGCAAAGCAAGGTCTTGTATCTCTCCTCGAGTCAGCTTCAAAATGTGCACGCCCTTCTAAGCAAGTTGCATCTGGCCCACAGCATGCGTGTCGAGCTTGCATCCGTCCTCACCACTTTCATCCGGCGCTGGCATGGGTGCGGGCACCTCAATGGGTCTTTGGCACATGACAGCCACAGCATCAGCCCTCCACTCTGTGAGTTTACACTGTGATCCGGACTACCCTCTGCGGAGGCGGATTGAAGAGCTTATGCTGATGATGCCAACCAAGCAAAACCAGCTCCTGAGGAAGCGGCATCCTGCAACAGATCCTGAACAACTCGGCAAGCAAACGCTCACGACTCTCGCGTCTACGCAGAAGAGGTCCAATAGGCACATGAAATCCTAAATGATTAATTAAGAATGCTTGGCTCAGCTAGCTGATCAGCACGCCATAGGCCTCCGGGTCATGGGCAAAGTTGCAGAACTTGCCATTTCGGCAAAAGCCCATCTCGAAAAAACGCACATCTGGGTCTTCTCCCTCTCCTGCAGGATGTCTACCGTCGTTCAGACCAAGCCCATCACAACTAACCGGAGCTGACGCTTTGCAGCAGCTACGTTCTTTCGAAGGTGTGGGACCCTGCAGATTCCGCCCTTGCCGGCCTCAAAGCCAAGTGGCTGCCTTTGCTCGTGCTCGCCGTGCGCATACGTGCAGGCCGCAGCCCTGAAACACTTTCCTTGCTCGTTCAGCTTGCAAATGAAGGTCTTGTAACTCTCCTCAAGTCAGCTTCGCGCAAGCAGAACTTGCCCGCCCTAAGTCGTCTATGCAGCGGATCTCAAGCACACGACGGCCGGCCACAGTATAGGTTGAGTGTAAAGAAAGAACCGAAGAGTCTTGTGGCGACTATTGGAGCACATGCTGATGATGCCACAAGCCCGAACAGCGTCTTAGGAAGCGGCATCTTCCAAGCAATCCTGAACAATTCTGCAAACAGATGTCCCTCGAGTCTAAGCTGGATGAAACACAGCCCCGCTACGTCGAAGAGTCTTTGATGCCGCGGGCCTCCAGGTCGTTTTCGCCGTGGGCAAAGTTGCAGAATTTGCCAAGACGACAAAAACCTTTCTCGAAAAGCTTGCACAGCTGCATCTTTGCCCTCTCCTGCAACAGGTCTGCTAAACTTTGAAATGCAATGGCAGTATTCGCATCGAGTCTCTGCTGCACGAGAGAGCCGGCCGTGCCTCATGGCCAAGTGGCTGCCTTTGCTCCTGCTCGCCGTGCGCATACGTGCAGGCCGCACTTTCCTTGCTCGTTCAGCTTGCACAGAAAGGTCTTGTCTCTCTCCTCAGGTCAGCTTCACGGAAGCAGAACTCGCACAAGGTCGTCGATGCAGCGAAAGCACACGTCGGCCACCGCACAAGACCCTCCTCTCTCTGTGTTGAGTGTAAAGCCAGGACCGCTGCCAGGAGAAGCAAGAGAGCTGCTGAGGAAGCGGCATCCTCCAAGGTATCCTCGTTAAGCTTATGGGCTGCTGATCAAACAGAATGTTGCTTTATGGGCCAATTGTCGTGTCGGCCCTAGGTAGAGGGCAAGGGAGGCACTCCACTTCCCCAGGATGCAAGACTTCCGGCACCCTCTCAGGAGCACAAAAGCCTACACTACACTACACCCCTGTGGCCATTCATGCCGTCCTCGTGGCTGCCTGCTGCGAGCTCTGACCGGTTCATGGCCAGGAGCGAGCATGCGTGGCAGAGAAGTCTAATTTTCGTGGCAGAACCCACGGCAGGCAAGCTACAACCACGACTTCCGACCTCCCACCGCAGCTGCGGAGAAGAAACCAACCATGCACAACACGATTGAAAAAGCTTAACAGTCAGTTTACCGATGTGAGGAGCCCACCCCGGAACCCAGACTCCTCAAGCTTCTCAAACTGTTGTGGAGATGTTGTCCGGGATTAAACTCTTAGGGAATCGTCTAGGGCACGCACTTGGCTACATGCTGCTACCTTGTGCTTTGAGGTGTCGAGCGGGCGATGCAGATCATGGGGTGAGACGTGGTTCTCTGCACAGGGCTCTACAGTCTTATGCCGTCCATGGGACACACGGCTGCCGAGTGCAAAGGAACTACAGACTACAAGTCACATTGCCATTTTCTCCTGCTTGCAGATAGGGTCTTGCAAGAGTCTGGCCCCACCGTGTCTGTACGCAACGCCAAAAGAAACGGTAGCCTCTAAAACAGCCACGTTGGAAAGTTAGGCATCAGGGCCACGAATCTGCGTCCACTCTGTACGGCACATGAAGCAGTTTCCTCAGTCGTTCCAATATTTCTAACCATAGTTACTACAGGGGAAAGGATGGGAAAGTGGCATCCTCAAACTAAGTTCGCGGTACAAGTAGATTTCGTGGCTCGCAATATCCTACCATGCTAGAGAAGGAAAGGATCGCCAAATCGCGACACTGACCCGAACTCCAAGACCCCCATTATCGTACGCTGAGGGACCGATGGGCGGGCTTCCGAGGTGTGGCAACACCTGAGACATCTGAGACAGCAGGCCCCTTTGCATGAACTTGTGAGGCATTGCAGTTCTGTCCGCTGAGGCGCTTTCGAGGCGGGTTGTGTGGTTTGTGTATCTTGCGTGGATATTACAAGCCATGTCGATCGAGTCTACGGCACGGATGGCTGCGGACCCCCGTCGCCTCCAGCACTGCTAGCCCGGCTGATCAACGCAACCACCTCACACAGCGGCGCCTCTGCAGCGCATTCTGCGCAGAGGACACGATGCCCACAGGGGTGGAAAGCCTGCAGGTTGTTGAGCTAACAAATGCGGACGTTGACGTTGCCACCCTTGCTCCGAGACAACACTTTTGAAGGGGTGGCCAGATGCCACAAGCTCATCAACTAAGAGCTGTCTTCCGGAGTCAGCTGAGGTTGGATGACAAGATCACACAAACGACCAAGTGCTGGCGAAGGGCATGTGTTTGGTCGCCAGCCATGCAGTACACGCACAATGCCTGCTGCCCAATGGCTGAGACGTGAAGGAGCCTTCAAGTTACTACGACATAAGGATGTCCTATATTTCCTCTTTTTCCATCTGGTAAAGTCAGTTATTGTCTCTATCTTCTGGTAGCGTCTGTATGGGAAAGCAACAACACTGCTGGGCCATTGCTGCAGGAGAGGGTCGGGCTCGTCCTGTGTGGCTGCCTCACTGGCGGTGTCCTCCACGAAGGTGCCCTGAAGTAAAGAAGTATGGTTCGCATCCTCATGTAATGTATACGCGCACCCACATACATACATACATACATACATACATGCATGCATGCATGCATAGATATATACATACATGTATATATATATAGAACATATACATATTTAGGTGCGTGCATACATACATACATACATACGTACATACGGTGCAGGACATGGTTGTGAGAAGTACGCACGTTGATAGCTGCAGTTTTGAGAGCCCCTGTCGGCCTCAGGACCGGGCACTCGCAGTGCGGTGTTGGTTATTTTGTCTCTCAGGCCATCCAGGTAGCAAATCTTCACCTGCACTAGGCTGCATTAGTCCGCCGGGGGAATGGGGGGCTTCGACTCTCACTCTCAGGGCTAACGTCTCGGTTGGCAGTTGTAAGATTTCTGAGTTTTTTACCAGCCACCTAGCTCACACCCTCTGCGCAGAAGGCTCTTGGGTCCCTCATCATCCAAGTGGACATCAGCCACAGCTCCCGTTCCAAGTCAAGCGACAGCGGGAACCATTTGACTTACTTCCGTGGCCTTCTGCTATTTAAAGAATCCCGAAGTCACCATGCTGCGCTATCTGATTGTGGGGCCTCTGAACTCAGCATGTCTCAGGGCCAGCGCCAGGAGTACACCCAAGCTTACAGCCACACAAGGGATAAAACTCATAGGGCTTGAGTTCAGGGATGCTGTCCTGGGACAGTTTTCCAATGTTCAAACCCCGTCCTGCAGCTGTGGATCCTGCGCCATGGTCTTGTACACCGAATTGCAAAGACTGCGCCAAGTCCAGACTTCCACCTGCAAAAGTAAACTGAGCCCCTGGCCACTGCTTTCGTTACTGAGCACACAACCGCATCTGTCACTATGAGAGAAAAAGTATCTGCACTCCTCACACACACAGTCACTGAGTATGGAATCTTCATGGGGTTCCCTGATTCAAGAAGACGATGGGGAAGCAGGACGGCGTGCCGGAGAATAAACACGGCTCATTCGATCATTCGACCATCAGCAGCAACAGCATCGTTAGCACCAGCTGCTCGACATCCATCATCCCGATCGCTCACCGCCGTCGCTGCCACCACCAAGCACCCTCACCAGTAAACGAAAGATCTCAGCAGCAGCAGCATCAAGAGAACCAGCCTGCTCACCTTTGCATCACACCACCAAACACAGCACCATCCACATCAGCATCACCACCATCACCACCATCACCGCCACCTCCACCATCAAGAGTATGAACAATGTTTTCAACCTCTGAGTCTATCAAAAGGGTCAAGATGGCGGCAGAAAGCGAAGCATGCTTAGGAGTGTGGTAGGGTGTCTCAGGCCGTCAGGAATTAGCACATGACTGTGTGCTTGTGTTTGTGTTTTGTGGCAAGGCCGGCCTTCCAGCCCATCCGCGCAACGGTCCGAACCAAGTTCTGGAAGTTGGCGCCCGTCGTGCCAGCAGCCTCTGAGGAGACTCAGCTTCAACAAAGACTCAAATTTGGATTTCCGATATTGGTACTTAGGGGTACCCTTTAGGGGGGGTCCTTATTATGAAGGGAATCCTACTGGTCCTACTATTTGGGGGACTATATTAGGGGTCTCCTCATTTTCGTAAGCCCCCAAATAGGAGTTCACAGAGGAGCAATCCTGATTGTCGGTGTTGCCATCCCCCGTGCAAACCACCAGCACGTTGTCCGGGTTTGCATTTCCCACGCTGTTCACCTCAAATTTCAAACTACAAGCGGTTCTCTGCAAAGCGTTCCTAGACATACCACATGAAGTTGAGAGACAGCAGTAGGTGAAGAAAAGGCTGGACAAGTCACGTGCATCAGCGCTTCCGCAACCAGACGGCCATCCACAAACTGCTCTCGGTTGTCCTGTTGGTGCAGGGAAACCCAGAATTGAGGGAAGTACGAGTATAGGCTCTCTTCCTCGTCTTCTGGACCGTCACCGCATGTCACCGCAAGGGCTCTGAAACTCTTGCAAAAGTATATATTTTTTCTATAGACAAGTGACAATTTACATGCATAGAGTTCACTCATGATGGCGTCAGATGGATTATGATTGTCTCATGCACTTTGCATATTGGTCCTCTGGGCTGCGCCACTCCACCATGACTTGATAGCCATTTCTGTCCCAATGTTGCCAAATGGCACTGGTGCGCGGGGGCTTCGAACCACAGACAACCTGTCAGCCGCACTCGCAACACTGGTAGGTTCAAACGGTCACGCAAACTGACATCACCCCACCTGGCGGGCAATGCGCCGCCCATTGGCCACCACCTGCGTGAACCTGTCAAGGTGTGAAAGCTCGACATGCGGACTGCTTGCTTGGAGCGCAGAAGACAACTCAACTCAATTCTGTTCAGTTCTTTCCTGTTACCCCGAAAGTTCGGCTTGGGAAGAGCCTGGCAATGTTTAGCCGCTTGCTGAAGTCCCGCAGACCAGTAGGCAGCAGCTGTGCCCCGATGGAGATGTTGCCTTGGCATGCATTTGGTGCCGGTGCCGATGTCTGGAAATGCGGATTGGCTTCGTGTATAATTATAGCCCTCTCTGGAACCAGTACGATGATGCATATCTCAACCCTATACAACCCTGTAAACCTTTATAATACCAGCCCAGGGGCTGTTGTCCACGAACATGTGCACAGTCTGCCGCCGCTCATTCTGAAACCTGAGAGCAACTATTTCGCACAGCTGTGCAGGCATGTCTACCGCCACACCCAGCGGCCCAGTGATGCCACTATAAACCCCGAAAGCAGCCCCAAATGGGAGTTTACGATATTAGGGGTACCCTTATTGGGGTCCTCAGTACAAGGGTATCCTACTATTTGGGGGTTTATCTTCTTATCGCAATCCCCCCAAATGCTTGTTGGAGATGAGATTCTGCTGCTCTGCCATGGAGGTCCTCTGAGCCGAGTCCAGCAGCGAAATAAGGTGCTCTTCAATGCTTCGCATGGCCTCCGCCCAAGGGCTTTAAATTTTTTGACTGCATACTGCAAGATTATGCATCATAAGGGGTTAGAACATGGTTTTCAGCCCTGAGCTTCATCCGGCGTTCGCACGTGGACCCCATGCCGACTCAAAGCCCCGGCCCATTCTTCAAGACACCTGGCTCAACACAAGGAAGCGTTTTCGGCTTCAGGTTGTGGTGGCTGCACTGTGGGCACTAGCACTCGGAAACGACGGCTACACATGCATCTTACGGCATGCATTTCAGGTGGCATATGATTCGTGAGAGAAGTCTCTATGCCAGTAGCACACATAGCTTGAGATTGCGCGTATCGGGAGTCAAGCCTACTTCTAGACGTACAGCGTGGTCGAATGGGGTCGGGAAGTCTGTCGTTGTAGAGCATGCATCCGGAAACATCGCCGACCTTGCATCTTCATCCTGAAGAGCTGTAAACTGGTGCTGGTCGACGTGCCGTGCAGCGAAGGAGTTCCGCACTTCTGATCTGCCACCCGGCTCACATTTACGCGACTTGCCACTTGACCCGTCAGGATTGATGTCGAGGGGATGGGGCTTACGGAACTTTCGTGCGCACCCTGTCCAATGCATGTGCCTTGTTGTCAGTGTGAGTTCTTTCCAATCCTGCAAGAAGGCTCCCCGGCAGATTTGGTCAGCAGGCAGCAATCTCATTCGGCATGCCTCACAAGCCAACCGGGGAGACTGTTGCACAGCCACCGCACCTGGTTGGTGGTACGCCCGTCACCACGACGGTAGATCGGCGCTCGGGCGAGGCACCTCGCGCATGTTGCCCTTGTTCTTTGAAACGTGCCGAAGGTGTCAGGGATCGCACCACACCATCTGGGTGGTCTTTGGACTTCTCCTTCCGGGCATCAAGACGGAGCCGCCAGCATCAGGCAATTCGCCCGATTTGCAGGAACCTGAAGTGCCCCCTTTTGGACTGCGGCCGAAAGACTGGTCCCACAGGCTGTTCATCAGGAGCTTCGATGAGCCCGAGTGCGCGTGTGCTGGTCGTCGCTCCACAGCTTGCATGGAGACGGCGCGCACGGGAGTGCGATTGCCCTTCGGTTGGCTTCC